GCATTAAGATTCTACACTTTCTATAACAATAAATTGTATTTTAAAGAATAACAATAACAATGGAGGAAACAAACTAGTGACATTTAATGTTAAAATCTTTAAGTCAATCAAATTTTTGAATTATTGTTTACTATTAAACATATTTATGGATCAAATTTATATGGATTAGCAATATATACATGAATATTTATTTCTGCTATAAATTGCTAATATTAAAATGAGATTAATATTTTTATGTTAATAAAACAAAAATAATAGTTATTTAAATTCTGATTCCAATTAGATCTGATTTATTACAAAATAAAATGCAATATGATCTACATTTCAAAACTTTAATTTGAACTGAATTTAAATTAAATTATACTAGTGCATTTGAAAATTGAAGCTTAAGGCATTTTTCAGTAAAAAATAAAATGGTTTTACAGTGAAATTTTTTACAAATGATCTTTTATAGAAATTATTTGTCAATAACTATAAATTGATCATTATGTCAAAATAAAACATGTTTATAAATATACTAAAATTTCCATCTTTGAAATGTTGTCATATAACAATAGAATGTAATGGACAAGTTATAATTTACCATCACAAAAGCATTGTTTTTGTTACCTAATTTTATCAAATATTTTCTCTTCCCTACTATATTACAGTTTTATTAAGACAGTTAAACTGGAATTAAATATTTTTCACCTCATCCGTTGTGGGAGGCAAATGTTGGACAACTAGTTGCAATGATTGTTCAATGATGATGACAGTTGCAAAAGTTGTTACCTTATCTTACTATTAATCAAAACTAATATTAAAATCAAATTCAAAATTGAGTGCATAATTTTTTATATCCCAAGAAATATTAAAATTAAAATGAAAAACATTTAACCCAGTTAATATAACCTCATCAGATCTAATGAGCTACCAATATTCAAAAACCAAATTGAAATTATAGAATAATAAGTAATCAAAAAATAATTTTAAAACTGTAAATGTTTAATTATGATTAAAATGTAATACTTTAAACATTTACTTAATACTTTTATATTTTTTATACAAATTTCATGCGTCAATACTTAAAATTAAAATATATAATTTATAAAAAAAATTAATTTTTTTATGTATTAAAATCTAAAAATGCATCATAATAAGTATAAACCTCAGTAATTTAAAATTAATTAATTCATTATTTTGAAATATCTTTCAAACACAATTAATTCTTTGTCATTAATATTCTAAATTTAATAAATTAAATTATAACACATATCTTGTACTCAACTTAAAGAAGTTCAACCATTGATAGTTAGGAATAATTTATATAATTCAGAATAAAGAAATAAAAATAACTTTCAACAATATCTTTTAGACAATAATTCGTTAAATATTCTACTAAAATAAAATTTAAATTATTATGATGTCTATTCATATATTTTAACTGTAAATTATTGAAGATTAACATACAAAAAACCTACCTCCAAAATATTAGAATAAATACCAAAAATAAATTACTTAACCGATAAATTTAAAAAGTAATTTCAAAGCTTCCTATGAGATTTTTTCAAACCACCTACTTCCCCCTAGGAAGTAATTTCCTGTATTTGCCCCTGATAAACACTAATTAATATTAATAAATTTGTTAAACTTCTGTACAAATATTACTAAATAGTTAACATTTTCATAAGAATAAAAACAAAACTATTTATTTTTAATTTAGTATAAATTTCAATTTTTCAAAATTTTTAAAAAATAAAATTCATAGTGTTATAACTAGAGACCGCATTTTGCATATAATGCATGTTAATATTTTAGTAAGCAATTACATGCAGTAAATGGGTTTTTATCGATCATACTTAAATAAATAATACAAAAATCGATAATATTTTTAAAAATATAATAATATGTTTCCATATTAGTTGTAAATATTGTAATGATGAAAAAGTTTTATTAATGTTATCTGATACAGCCCCATATATAGTTGAGGCCACTAACAATTTAAAACCATTTTATTTTACCACATTTTTCATGTGACTTGTGCTGCTCATTGGATTCATCAGATCGCAGAAAATTTTTCGATTATTGTTGAAAGTATTAAAAACCTTGAGACTTTAGGTTTGCTACTCATAAGTAATTTAGAAATTTTTGAACAAATTACGAATTCTATAATTTATCTTTCTGAAAATGAAAATAGCGCATTAATTAAAAAAAATTTCTGAAATTATTAATAAAAATAAAGGCTTGCTAATTTTAAAAGAAATTTCTAAAATACACCAAGGTGAGAATGTTGAATATAAAAATTCTTCTATCAAACATTTTCCCCCCAGGAAATTTTGTCGAGTTTTAAATATGCGCCTATAACAAGCGTTGATATGGAACAAAGTTTTTCTGCATACAAACATAATGAATACAAATAACATCACAAACCACCATCATAATTTAACTGAAATCAATATGGAATATATTATTGTTACTTATTGTTTTTCCAATAATATTATATTATTATAATACATAATATAATAAATTGTGTTTTGATTTTATAATTTTACAATAAATAAATAGCTGTAACAATCAAAAATTATCTTGCATATTTGAAACTTTTAAAGTGCATATTTAAAAATTTTAAATGCATATAAACTCGATCTCTAGTTATAACCATTAAACTACAGTCAACTTCCAATATAACAAATTTCAAGGGACCGAACAAAAAGTATGTTATATCGTAGAATGTTCGTTACATCGAAATTCATTATATCAAAATCATAAATCAACAAAATTTGTTTAAACGATATTTAAAAGAATATTTAGATTTTATTAGATTTTTATAATTACATATCTACATACAATATTAGATTATTATTAAATATTTTATTGAATACATTTATTCATTTTTTTATTACATACATACTTATTTTTTTTTAAAAATAAGTTATTTTTTTATTTTATTTTTTTTATGTGTATCCACTTGTGCTTACGTGATTAATAGTGTTGTCTAAATTTAGAATATTAAAAAATACACTGTCAACAACATCATGTATTTGTTAAAAATTTAAGACGACGCGGCAACCTAATATAGCTTCATTCAAGCTTACGGGGTCAGATCCCCCCCATAAATCTTTCAAAAATTGTAAAAAATAGTATTTTTAATGTAAGGAAATTATAAGGAAACAAAAAAAAAATTGCAAGGATTTATTGTAAATTATCATTTTGACACATTCAATACATATATTTTATTGTTTATTATTTAAATAATCAAGTACTTAGGTTTAGGAATTTGCCTTCCATAATAATTTGTTTGCAACTGATCCCCCCCATACAAAAGTTATATGTATGCCACTGTACTATTGGACTATACAATTTTATTTATTTTACATATAAACTTTACAGATAAATAATAGGTATATGACTGCAACTAGGATATTACCTACAATTCGCATCACCTCAAATGTTATATGTCCTTATCTCAAAAATATTCTCTGACCGCAACTTGGATGCAGCCAACGTGGAGTATCAATCTCCAAAATTGTAAATATTCGTTACACTGCATGAACTTTGGCCAAAAAATCTTCATTATATCGAGGGGACCAAAATATTAAATGTTTTGTTATACCACGAGATTTTCAAGGGTCCAACAGTTTTATACATTATATCGAGGTTTTTGTTATATCAAACTTTGTTATACCACGAGTTGACTGTATATAATTTTGATGCCATTAAATAAAAAATAAGTGCTTGATATTTTAAAAATATGTAAAAAAAAAATTTTTATCATCAACTTGGTTACTAATATTTAAGATTAATTAATTAAATTTATCTAGAAGGGAATTTCAAAAACTATATACATCAGTTCTAGAAACCTGATTTATAGATTACATAACATGAACCCTATATTTAATGTATTATAGCACTCATCAACCAAAGCAGTGACGATAATAAAAAAAAAAAAATCAAAACCAGTTGCTGATTCATTCAAACTATATTTGATATAGTTTAAATTAAGTATCATTTTTATTTTATTTTAATTATTCTAAGACAATTCAATTTTAAATTTTAAATTAAAAACTATCACAAATCTCTACATTCAGTACTCAATGTTAAATACAATGAAATACTTAGTTATTTGAAATGTTTTTAATATTAGATACTAAAAGAAAAAATTATAAAATCAATATTTGACACAAAACTCATAATCTAAAATCAAGTAAAGACCTTTAACCAGTTTTATTCGACAATAAAAATAAATATCTTATATTTAATGTATAGGTGGGAAAAATTATTAAAATGTCATCAAAAATTACATAAAAAAAGTATGAAGAATAAAATAAAATAGTAAAGCTAACTGGTAATTGATTGTTAATTATCCTTAAACTAAAAAATGCAAATAAATGTTTTTACAATCATTAGACTACAACAATTATTAGCCATAAATAAGAACAATTTCAAATTCCAAGAACTGATTATCTAAGTAATTTTATATTTAATATTTATATCATAAAATATATTAAACATATAAATCAATGAATAACAAACACTTAATAGAAATATAATAAAACCATGCTTATATGACTTATATTTTAGGTTAATTACATTGAAATCCCTTTTTATCATTTTTTAACTATATGCTAATAAAATGTATGCATTCCAATTTCTTTTTCAACTTTGTTATATAAAAAAAGAAAAGAAACAAAATATATTAGTACTCTTTAATCAGTGTATTTTAAGTTAAATGCCAACTCTGAATAAGAAGAAAAGATAAAATTGCAAAACATATAAAGCTCAAACCCTAAATTATAAATAACTAAAATTAAGATAAAAAAATACTAAGTTTAGGAACAAAACAAACCTAAACTTTACATATTAATCCAAATTAAACACATTTATTTACCAAAAAAGTATAGAAATTAAAATAACTCTGTCATAAATTTAGACTTACAACAACACATATGACTAGTTTATTGTAATTTTAATAAATAATACATAAAATATGAACTGATTCTAGTCAATATTTTATAAATTACCTGATAAATTTTCGCCAAGATTCTAAAAATTCTTTAGAAACACAAGGATATGGAGAATTTTCATGAGAAGGAACTGGTCTTTTTTTATTCAATAGTAAATCACTTAGTAATTCTTTTTCTGTAATGGCTGATTGCCGATGAAGATTTTTGGTTATCTCATCTTGATTATGCATACTCTGTAAATTGAAAATTATAAATATCCCATCTTAAGTTTTTAATCTATTAAGTTACTTACTCGACACATATTGCAAGGTTCAATACCATCAGTAAATATTGGTGCTTTGGGAAAATAAGAATGAAGTACACTCCATACAGTTTCGGGAACCAATTTTCTTGTATTATTTTCAATAGTCATGTTTCCTATTTTCAATAATAAATAAATTAATAAACATTACTTAAATAAGTTGATTATTAACTTGCCATGTGAACAAGTTATGTCTTCATTGAAAATCCATGACATATACTCTATATCATTTTTATCTATAGAATCTGAATCATCGTGTTTATCTTTTTCTTCTTGACTATTATACTCTACATCATCATCTTTGTGTTCATCGTCTGTTTTTGATTCATTCTCAATTTTAACTACACCGTTATGCAAATTATTCTTTTCATAATTCTCATTAATAACCTCTTGTTTTATTTTTTTCTCTTCGTTAGCTAATTCATCATTAACATTTTTAGCAATAACTGTAGATAGTATATTTGTCATTTCTTCTAAAACTGATTCCAATTCTAACAAGGAACAATGAAATGGTTTGAAATCAGTGAGCTTCAAAATTTTAAAAATTGATAATGAATTATTAACAAGTAAATGAGCAATTTTACGATATCCATCCATAGACTCCAACGTAATACGATCCATTTTCATAACTTTTGCTTTGAAGTATTTCCTATCTTCTTCAACTAAATTATTTGAAGGATAAAATACTGGAGACAACAAATTTGGATTAAGTGGCAGATCAGTATTTGGAGGTATATCATGGTTATTCACAAAATATTCAAACAACTCTAAATACATTCGCCTCCAACTTTTTAAAGAGTCTTTACCAACCCAAAAGTTAGTTTCACGACTTGAATTACTGAAAAAAAAAAAATAAAGTATTTACTTAAAAAAGGTTAGTAATAATGTACTTAATAAAATAAACATTAAACTAAAATATTCAAACTATATGTGATATAAATTGTATGGTAATTGTATACTGGTAATTTTATAATATTTATTAAATTAATTTCAATATTATTATAAATTTTAAATTACATTTAAAAAATGTAGATTAAAGCCTTTTTTAACTGCACATAATCTTAAATAAAATTTTAGCTTAATATTAAACACATCTATATTTTTAAAATTAAAATATGTTTAACAAGATACCTCTTGTTCTCAATATTTTTTTATACTTTAAAAGTAATAAATTCAATTTTTTTTTTAATAAAAGTATTTTAATTATTACCAATTTTCCACTAACATTTTGTCTAACTTCTACAATCAACAAGTTTCTAACATTAATTGGTCTAAAAACATTGAAAATCCAATGATATTCATCAAAATTAAGTAAAACGATCCCTAAAAAACATTGTTACTTTACATACAATTTACTTTTCAAGACAATCAAAAGTAATAAATAAAATATAATTTATACAGTGGATAAGTAAAAAATTATTTTAAAAATAACAGCTAGATATCAGTTAATTAATTTAATTAATTAATTAATTAATTCAATAAAAATGTAATAACCTAACTTTTATATTCCAGTGCTATATCACATCTGATCATATTAAAATCTATGTGCAGTTTTGACACAATTATTTATTTATCATAATTAGTGAACAATTGTATACATATTAACTTAAACTATTAATAGATAGTATAAATTGATTGGTTTTAAAAATGTAAAATGTAATATTAAGAAATTTAATTAAATTTATATATTACAAATACTTACTTATTATTAATAGTAGTGGGTTCCCAATTTTGTAAAATTGAAGTTATAGTTTTGTTTTGTTCAGTAGTTAATGTTTTTGTGTATAATAAGGCACATTTATTTCTAACACATTTCCAACATAAGGATGAATTCAACTTCAGTCTTGGGCCTCCTTGGTAGATACCATACAATTTATCAGCCTAAAAATAAGAAATTAAATATACTTAATGTCGTCATTTTACAAAAATGATTTAATAATGTATACTAGTTTAGTTCCAATGTATTTAGCTTCATGCACTTTATCAGGATCAAGTAATTCATGTTTACATAATATAGCATGATTATTTATTTCTTTAACACTTTGATTTGGTGTGATTTTAAACCAATAATTAAGCCACTGCAATGAAATAGCCTCTCTATCTTCTTCTTTTGCTGGTATTGAATTCATCTCAGTTATCAAATTCAACATTTGTTCGACAAAAACTTTATCTTTGTCTTCTACATATTCACGATTACTTTTAATATTTAATATTGCATTTTCAAAGTTATTATTACGAGCATCAACAAGATGAGTCAAACGTGGTGATAACTTCCAATCAAAAGATTCTGTTTTCAGTTTTTTTATCATGCTAGTATGCATATAAACCAACATATAAGCATCATTTGTTTGCAACATTCCTTTTTGAATTTTTGGAGCTTTAGCAACTTTTGAACCATTAAGTTTAAACTCATCTTCAGTACACAAATTTAAACCTTTACCCTTTAATTTTTCAACATTTTCATCATTAATTTTATACCATTCTTCTGCAGCAATATCTTTAATATGGGCTGAAATACAATAATAAAATAATATATAGATAAAAAAAATAATTTTATCATTTTCAAATAGTTCAACAAAATGTATTAATACTTACCAACATAGTGACCAGAATATGCACTTGAACCTTTATGTATAAGAACTGCACATAAATTGTACATATGTTTATCTTTTGAAGATTCATCAGGTTGGACAGGTAAATTTAAATATTGCCCCATGTCTAATGTTTGTGAAAACTGTATGTAAGTATTTAATTTCTTTTTTTGCATTGTTTGTCTGCAAAATATTTAAATTTCCAAATTTTACATTTTACAATGAAATTGGTCTTAAAAACATACCTATCATAAACAAAACGCATCAATTGAATATTTAACACAGGAGGTAATGTGATTAAACATATTTTTCGCACAGCATCTTGTTTACTATCACAATGATCACAGTAATACTTGTCATCTCCAGTAAGATGTTCTTCTTTTAAGAACTCTTGCAAACTGTCATTTAATGTCTTATGACCTTTTATGTTCAAATCAAGTTCATAAAATGTTGATGGGCGTGTAGATTTAGTTTTACATTTTAAACATCTGAAAAACGATAAAATTACTACTTATTTTACATGTTATACTAAGAATATTAATAATTATAAATCATACGTAGTAACATATTTATATTCTCCAAGAAAATTATCTTTCACCATGTCTCTAACAGAAGCATCAGATTGTGTACTAAACTTGTTTTCTAAAACTGATAGGAACAAATTTGAGAACTCCTGAAATTTAATAAAATATAAATAAATTATACTTTTCACTAAAATAAATATAACTACTATTAAACAAATAAAACTTACATGAGCATCCTGTTGTAGTGCAGTATTGATTCTTAAAGTTGTAATAAAGTCTTCAGGATCAACTGATCGTTGTTTACCAAACTGCATCAAAGCAAATACTAATTGTAAATGACCAACACTAGTCTCTGGAGTATATGCATTTTCAATGAAAAGAGATTTATTTTGTCCTTCCATTGAATCTTCTTCAGGTTTCCAATTAAATATTGCTTTTCTATAAAATAGAATAGAAACACAATTTAAAATAAATCTATTTTAAATAAAACATATATTTTGTTTATACCTAAAGTTAATGTTATGAAACCACAACTGCAGAAGACTGTTAATATAACATGTTGCACCTAAGTTTTTTAAACCAACAAACTTATTATTTTGTCGTCGTTCAAGTTCTGGATCTTCATAGTCACTAACAGGAGTGCGTACTTTATCTTGAAGCCAACGTTGTTCACCAAGTCCAGATAAACAATATGGATTATTCTTGCAATTACGACTATACATATAAGAAAAATACAGTTAAAATGGGAATATTTTTAACTGTGCTTAAAAATAAAAACAATTATTCATAGATCATAGTAGAGAGTAAAATTAATTTTTGTTTATTTGTAATAGAAATATATAATTTTGCAATAATTAATATTATTATTTTTTTCATTTAAATATATATTTAATCACATTTAGTTGATATAACTTAAAACAGGTATTGTAATACAGCAAGTATTAAATAACACTTTAAATTAATTAGTATTTTTTTAGTGTAATAAACTGTATGTTATGTCTTTAAATGGCTTTATTTTCTACAAAGCCAACAAGGTTTATTTTTTATTATCAACTATACTATGCTTATTAATTATTATTAAATTAATTTAAAATTTAAAACATTGCACCTACATAAGTATACAAATTATAAAAGTAAGTCCAGAAGAACCAAAAGTTTTATACATATTTATTAATTTTTTTTTTAAAACACCTATAATCAGTGGTTATAATTAGCAGAGCAAATTCCAAAGAATAATAACAGAATGGATGAATAATATGAATAAAAGCAAACACCTAGAAAAGAAGAATAATAAATTACTAAAAATATCCTACATATAGCAGAGGGAAGATTTTACAAATTATGATAAAAACATAAGCATTTTCATACCATTTCATGCTCCTAAATTATAAGTTGCTCTGGTAGATAGTATAAATAATTGATTAGCATTTTAATTTATTTGATGAAAGTCATATATTTCTTAAGAATTTTATTGTAAGATTAATAGTAACATGTTTTATGTAATAACAATAACTTTAATATTTATGTTAGATATTCCAAAATATTTTAATGATTAAAAACATAAATAAAATAAGTAAATAAATGTTATTTAAAAACATTAGTGGTAAAATTAACTATAGTTTAAAAATATAAAAAGAAAATAACAATCAGCAAAAAAAAATTAATAATGATTATAAAAACAAGTATAATAACAAAAATTTAAATGAATAGCTATACCAGACAAGTTAATTAATTTTACTAGGAGAGACAAATAATTATAAATTAGGTAAGATGCAAAACAGAAACTAGGAAAGAATTGGGTTAGTGAAAATTGCATTTAACAATAAAAGACCATTTCTGTAAAAAAAATGCACAATAAGGATACTAAAGGACACATAAAAGTTCTAGTAATTTCCAAGTAGTATGGTGCCATAGAATCCTAGCTATAACTTAAATTGGACTAGGAACTTTTTTATCTCACTTTTTATGTATATGCTTATAAAGAAATTCTAATTGTGATTTTATTTGAAGTTGAGCAAAATTGCTGCTTAAAATGTTTTGCTTTTTACACAACCTAGAACTCCTTATTATAGACCTATTAATCATGGACCACATAATTATATTTATAATATAATATTCAACAGACACATGGATATTAAATAAAATTAAAAAATAATAAATATAAGTGTTTAAGATATGGTGCTTTAAGTGTAAGCAACAAATTAGCTAAATAGACAAAAGTATCAAATGATCAAGTATTGCAACAAGTAAATGAACAGAGAACAATGATTGATACTATAAAAGTGAGAAAACTACAATTGCTAAGCCATAATTTAAAACATCTGAGCCTTAGACAGGTCCATACATCCTTAATGATATCATACCGGAATGATTTATAAAAATCATAAGAAAATAAAATCAGTTGGAAGACTATAACATTTAACAAAAAGAACTTAAGTTTTATTTTTTATTTTGCTGCATAGGTACTAGTTGAAATTGTGAGTTGAAACATAAGTTTAAGCAATATTTAGAAAAATAAAATATATGTTTACAGCCTATAAAAGAAATGAACTTTTCACAAATTTGTTATCAATACACAAAACAGTCATAAAAATTAGTCATGTTAGATGTACACATAGAATACGTATACATAAACAAAATAACTAAAAAAGATTAGGGATCATTAAGGAAAAAACAATAAAATAAAACAAAATTTTCATATGATTTCATTTAAATATAGTCAAATTTTTTGTCTTTAAATTCTATAGCATACATAATCATACAAACTTCATTGAAGAACCCACAGAAGACATAAAGTTATGAAAGAATTGAATATTACAAAAAAACATAGATCAGATTTGCACATTAAACTAGGTTTTATCATCTAGTATTTAATTAAAACCCAAGCAACCCTAAAGTGAGGGTTAGCCAACATTATAGTGAAACCAAAAGTTCGAACAATCGAAGCGATTAGACTGATTAGTCGTCAGTAATACCCGTGCGGGTAATACTATTTGTAGGCCACTCACCGGCAAGACAGAGGTTTGCACTTGGACTGTCCAATACGATAAGTTTTGAGGACATTTTCGTAGGTGATATCATTGGGATGAATGTTGTCGGCCCACGACCACTGACCTTTTCTATCATGATCCTTCTTCTTGGACATATCGTGCACGGTGCCAGTATTTCATGCAACACAGACGCAGGTAGCGGACGGACGCGTTAGCAGCGGTATATGTGTACACCGTGCGACGGCGTAAAGCACAGTTCACCGGCGGGAAAAAATAAGACCGAAGTGGTACGACGCGAATGGCGGTACACCGGAAGCCCAACGTCTCATACGCGGACGGGAAATCCGACGCGCATTAACAACCGAAAAAACCCAAATTACTTTCGAGATTTCACGTCAGGGCGCCGTCGAACAACAAACATTCGAATAACGATCCGGGTACAGACTGATTTTCCATAGTCGCGGTACGTCGGAAGCCCCGTCGTAAGTATCCGGTGCCGTAATCACCCGATGGTGACGATCGGGTTTCGCGATAAACACGACGAGTTGGAGTAGACGAGAAAAATAAAAAAACTCTATAGGTAGTACAATACAAATTATTAACAATAATTTGTTATTTTTATACCAATAACACACATACGCGCACGCTTGTGTATGTGTGTGTGTGTTGTGTATATGTGTGTATGTGTGTGTGTGTGTGTGTGTGTGTGTGTGCAAGTGTACACACTACGTACCGTGTACAATATCACTTATTCCGCGGCGGGCTGTTATCTAGGGGTTCTCAATGTTGTGTGTTTATTATACATCGCTGTGGCCACCGAAGCGACCGGCAACTCGCAGTGCGGCATACACCGACCGGTACACAAAACGGGCTACACTGACGCGCACCGGTGACCGCGCGGCCGGTTATTAACGTGTTGTCGTTCCGCGACCTGCGCCCGGTAGCACCGTGATCTACTTAATAACAATTAATGAACGGATGTACGCGCTCCGAAAAATTGTAATGCACGCTTTATTAACTAAAGTTTTAACACACACTCGATAAAACGTCGTTAGGTGCGTGAAAGATGTGTGAAAACATCAAAACTGACGTGAAATGCATCTCGTTTTACTTATTCAAATGAGCGTTACGCCGGGACAAACATTGTTTTTGAAATATTTTGAAACTTTTAGATTAACAGGACGTTATACACCATGACCGTAATCAGGGGGGATTCCGGGTTTAACCCCCCCCCTCCCCCGAAATGTCGTCGAAAAATATTTTTATTGACAACTCAATAATCCTAAAAATCGTGAAATATATAAAAGTATATCCAGCTATTAATGTTATACGAGAAAAATTTAAATCTTTAATAAATAAAGAAACCGCCGCCCAAAAGTCTTGTCAGTTATTAAGTACAATTAAAGACGCTAAATTTGTTATACCTCTCATAATAGTTGAAAACATTTTTTCGTATACGTTGACGTTACACAGTCACAGACAATAAATGCTGATTTAGTCGAAGCGTGTAATCAAGTAGAAAATATGTGTTAGTAATTTTGGACGAAATGAGAGAAAATAACAACAAACATTTTTCAGACATGTTTTCGGTTTAAGTTATAACTAGGATTCTACGGCACCAGCGGCCGAACAAGGGGGTGGAAGACGGGGATTCATCCCCGGGCGTAAAATTGTATTTATATAGTTTTTTGTAATTATTAATAACTAATTTGATATTTTTAACTTTGTATTAAGTTAAAACTCAATAAGTATAATTTTATAATTAGAAAAAAAATTCTCGAGAAGATTATTTGATTGTTGGTCAATGATAGGGCGTAATTTTAACATTTTCCCCGGGCGTAAAAATTCCTAGTTCCACCTCTGTACGGCACCATAGTACTTGGCAATTACTGTTATAGACCTTTTATGTGTCCCTTAGTATCATTATACATTTTTTTCACAGTAATGGTCTTTTATTGTTAAATGCAATTTTCACCAACCCTATTCTCTCGTAATATTGAAATAGCGATATTTTTCTACTGACGGGCGGGAACCACAAAACATTGACGTCGTTGGTTCTCATGGAGGATTCATACAGTCCGACAGTGTGAGACACATCGCCAATCGCGTCTTCGAATGCGTCGTTGTCTATGTTGGTGATAGAGGACGGATCGTTGCTACCATTCCTAACCGTCAGGGGCGGACTGGGTATCGAGGGGCCCGGAGGGAGTCTATTGGACCTATCATTATTACATTTTAATTAATAAATATTTTTAGTTAGTCGTGCTCAATCCGTCCAAATTCGGATATTCTAATAGTAAACGATCGGTGTTTTACCATATTATTTTAATGTTAAATTTTGTATACGGGTAATTAATATGACATCATCAAAGGCTCAGGAGGCGAGCGCCCCTTTGTTCCTTGGCCAGTCCGCCCCCGTTAACCATACGTTGATGAGGCTATTTCGATTCTCTTTAGATATACACTCCAATTTGTTTCTAAATATAACTTCTATTGTCTCCTATCGATTATATATTTTAGTATTATATAACATTCACTTAATGAAATCACTCGTTTCATGAAATTGATATCACTTAATGAATGTATTGATTAGGTACTTAAAGAGGACAGTTTTTGAGTTTTTTTATGATATATTATTATTATAAATAAATGAACATCATAAATATTTAATTTTTATGTAAATTTTATGATTTAATATGAAATGAAACTATATATTGTTTTATTAAGGTATTTATTAATTAATTAATTATTTTTTTTTGGCATTGAAATGTTTTATAGGCTATCGCTAAGGGTCAGCTACAATATTCGAAACGTCATGCCGAATGTCACACTTATCGAGTACTTTTTAATTATCTCATTTCGATCACATAACCGTGTTTATTTGTACTACCTACCATATCTTGGTTATACATATTATAAAGATTGTTTTTTTTTCATAAATTACAAATCTACTTTACATTAATGCTGTTGTGCATAAAAAAAAAATTATTTTCTACTTTTCTACTTTTTTTATGGTGCGAAAATGGTGGTTGAAATCTTTAAATCCCCCTGTATCTATGACCCTGATCTGACTCAATATTTTTGTATATAAGGTAGTGTAAATTGATTTAGAAAAATATTAGTCTAATTTCAAAGGTGTTTTTAGGTGCGTGAAGTTAGCGGAAAAATTCAAGCACTAATTTTTGCTATGGTACCATTATTTAGTGCTCAATTAGTGCTATTCAATCCTACCGTTTTTGAAATTAGTGCTCTACACAGTTAAAAATTACAAGGTGGCTTATCTTTCTCCGCTAACTTCATGTAGCGGGTGCACCTTCAGCACCAAAATCCGCGATAGCACTAAATTTTAGTACTCAATTAATTTTAACAGCCATCTATATCAACCACGGTCATATAAAATAGATTTCTATGACCGAGATATTGACACTGTTATCATTATAGACATATTTTTCTCGCTGATTATTATCATGAAAAATCCAAAGGACTGTTGACTCGAGCTTATACGTTTTCACCTTAATTTAAAGAACAACGTGTTCAATGAACGTCAATACGGCATAGATACTTCCATTTTTGATTTTTTTTCAGCACAAACTCCAAATTTTGAACGTTAATTATTTAAAAACAAATCACACGTAAGAATACACCATAATTAAATAGGTTGCTCAACTTATTTCTACCATAATGGAAAGCTTTTCAAATATAACTCATTTGTTAGATTATATTTGACTAACAAATGTGTAATTTTGAACTGATTTCTTTCATATTGATCCGATATACTTTAAATTTGTTTTTTTAAGGTTCCTTCCTAAAGTTATACCTGATACTCTTATATTCTATAGAAATTTCTGCTGGACAGATATTTCTATTTGTATTAGTTACAAACACATCATCCATGATTATATAGTGAACGCTGTGTAATTATTTTTAACCAATTTTTTTTTCAATATTTTTGTCCTAATTTGATCTGATCATTTCAAAATTAATTTTAAAATACTCCCTAAGATGTCCTGATACTTTTAATCATTGATTATAAATACTAGTATTAGTATTGTCTATGTAAATGTTTGTTAGGCTGAGTTAATGTAGATAATATATAAGTTGGTTGGTTGAGTTATCGAATCATATTTATATTTCCCTGGTGGAAATTTGTCGAGCTGGCCTCAATGTTATTTATGGTGCAAAATGTGATAGATGAATAAGAAGTACAAGTGGACTTTTATTCATACATGAATAATGAATGGTATATTATAGATTTATATATAGTATTTATATATAGTATATTATAATTATAGACATGAAACCTATAATAAAAAAGCTCCCTTGCCCTACTCTACTTTAAATTGTTTTAACAGAATTTATTAAAACACAAATTTTCAATAGTCAGGGGCGAAACTAAAGGGGGGCAGGGGGGACAAGATGCCCCCTAAACTAATTTCGAAAACAGTATGGTTGAATGGAATTAATTGAGCACTAAAATTTAGTGCTATCGCGGATTTTGGTGCTGAGGGTGCACCCGCTACGTGAAGTTAGCGGAGAAGTTAAGCCCCCTTGTAACTTTTAACTGTGTAGAGCACTAATTTCGAAAATAGTAGGATTTAATAGCACTAATTGAGCACTAAATAATGGTGCCATAGCGGAAATTAGTGCTCGAATTTTTCCGCTAACTTCACGCACCTGGTGTTTTCACGGAAGATATCAAACTAATAATTTTGAGATCCTGTTAATTGATTTCACTTTATTATTTAAGTTGATAAAAAATTAACTGACGATAATCATTTATTTTAATTTTATTTTCATTAATAGCTACTAGTATAAAACTATAATAGTTCAGCGATTACAAATAGCGTTTACAAGGAATATAAATTACAGGTATTTTATATCATAAAGCCAGATTCCAAAATAAAAGTGATTACAATTTTTATAGCAGTTTCAGATTTTGTATTGAGTATGGAGTGGAAATTAAAACAAATGGTGAGATTTTCAAGAGAATTTATTAAGATTTGGCGTTCAGTATGTGGAGTAGGGCAATCAAATAAGATATGCGGTAGGTCACAGATACATTAATTTAAATGAAGTGTACAGAATGAAGAGTCATTTAGGCCGAGTTTAAATGACTGTCTAGTTAAAGGTTGTGTCCCATACGTAAACGATTAAATTGAACAATATATGGTCTATGTAAATGTAAATTATTAAACCAAGTTTATAGATTATTTAAGAATACTTGAAGCAATATTTTTATATCTAGAGGTAAAACACGCAAGTAGGCTAGTTTATTCCAGTGGGAGGATCATAGATCGGAAATGTATCTTTTTATCAAAGGGGAAAAATCAGACTGGGAAAGTTGAGTAAAAGAAAAGCAGATAATATTAGATTTGGAAACGATAATCATTAATTTAGTAACTATGTGCAATAACTATGTATTGGTTACAGTGGTAGTACAATAAATAATACAACGCTAGTATATGAACCGCACCGCCGCGCCGTAAAGGCGAGATCCCACGGCGCGTGGCGAGGCGCGTTATTCGACTATATCCGTGCCAGCCTCGCGCCGACCGTTAGCGCATCTATACAATCCCACGGTGCGGCGCGAAAATCGTCGAGCGGTGCGGCGCGCTGCGCGTGCTGTTGCTAAACAGAATTTTCGTCTTGAATCCAGAGTATCGATTTATAATCATTGTACTGTAGTTCATGAAGTGTAGAGGTCTATTGTGCATTTTTGGTGAATAAGTGTATTTAATAATTATTTAAAAATGGAAACTTCATTCAATAATTAGTTCTGACTATTAGTTTTGACTATTCCATTTCGAATAGAAATAAAGTACAAAAAACAACACAAAAAACTATAAAATTGGACTGAGGCGCGTTGAATAGAGACAACGTGGGGATGACATGTGGTCAAATGACGAGCCGCGCCGCCTTTGACGCGTGTCACAGAAACCAACAATTATCGGGAAGAGACGAGCCGCGCCGAGCATCACCGATCCCACGGCGCGTTTATAGTACCGCGGTATACCACGCTACGCGCCGTGGGATGCCGCCTTAACAGCGTAATAAATCTATATAACTGAATATTTCTTGTAATTCAATTTTAATAACATAAGATTATAATTATTATACATCTGTTACACATTCATGTAACAGTATCAATCGAAAATGTAGCTAAAGATTATTTAAGGGGAGAAGGTTTTGATATATTTGGGTAATAAAATTATTTTTAATATTACCTATTTATATACAAGCTGAGATTTTGGCAGTAAGAGAGGTGAACACCTCAACCCCCCCCCAATCACCTTACTTAAGCTATTGGTTCCAATATCTATTGATCAACCAAATATGTACATGTTTTTCAATACTTACATTTTATATTTGAACTAAGGAAATGTCTTAGGCGTTGGATTTATCATGATAATTATTTGGTCTTAGTAGATTCTCAAATTGACAACCGTAGTTGTCAGCGACGGAACACTTTGCGAACCAATTTCGTACTGCTAATAGATACCGCGGTCGAACCGGTGTGTTTTGAGGTTATGGTACGGTAGAGTGATACGAAGGAAAATTTTATTTTTTCATATGATTTCATAGTTCACGCTTTTTTTTATATAAATTTCCCTGTATTTGATTTACTGCACGGGCAACAAATAAGTTTCACAGAAACGTATAATCCTCTTAAAAACAATTATGGACAACAAAATGAACGATATGATCAACAAAATGGGAGCTGCTAAAGGTCTGAGTTTGGGTGTAAAACTAGTTGCTGGTGTCGGTATTGCTGCATACGGTTTTGCCAATTCCATGTTCACAGGTAAATGTTGATATTTTTTTACTTCGTTGTAAATTAATGTTTATATTTTCAATTTTTTCAAACTTTCATCAATATAATATATTCTTATATGAAGTCTGTTGGTTGTTCTATCAATTACGAATTGAACAGACACACTGATATTTTTATATATATTTCGTTTAGTTTGAATCCAACACTACCATTTAAAAATATTAGTTCATAATATAAATCAACAAAATGTAGGAACATAAATAGTAAGAGTTAGTCAAGTAGATGGAATATATATATGATTGATTGATGAAGTTAAGATTTGTATTGTCATAAATTCTAATGTCCAGGTTGATTAACAAGTTTGTTGCAAATGTTGTTACCTTATAGAAATGTTTCATTTTGCCTTGTATGTTGAGTAATAGACATTCTTGCACGATGTTATTAACTGTCTGAGTATCATGGTCACAGTCTCATTTTGGTGTATCTCTAAGTTATTTATATGGTATTCTTCCCATTTTTTCATGACCAGTCCCAAATCTGTCTAGGATCACCTATTCTTTCTGCCATAGTTGAAAACCAGGAACCCTTTTCGTCAATAGTTCAATGTTGTTATTTAGTCTATTCATCAGTGCATTTTGAGTTAAAATACAGTTTTCATTCAATAATTTTTGTGTCAACTTCCAAAGAAACTTAAGAGACTTAAGAAACTTAATCTTTGACCGAGAATATTATTCATATATTTGTTTATCGGTAAACTATTTATTTATTTATTATCTATTGTTTTAACTAATATTTAAGGCATGATAATTATATTCTTGAACTAGGGATCTGTATCTTCACTGATAGATGTTGCCTGACTTTAAAGATTCAATTTTTTTTAAATCACTTATTTAATTAATGTTAAATTATTTAATACTTTTAATGAGTTGTTTTTGTTTTCTTCAGTTAATTAGTTATTCATAATTTCTGATATAAATAATTTAATAATAAAGTATGGCATTTGTATGAAGCAAATTTTTACTGTTATGATTTGTTCATTGTCATAAATCTACTAATTTCATTTGGTTACATTGTTAAAAAAGTGAAATTTAGTATATTACTATTCAACTTCATTGATTATAATGTATATTGTATTGAAGACTGTATAAAATCATTAGTATTTTGAAATTTGGTATTGATCTAAAACCTAATATCGATACTAAATATATTTACAGTTGAAGGTGGTCACCGTGCTATTATGTTCAACCGTATTGGTGGTATACAAAGAGAAGTATATCCAGAAGGATTACATTTTCGTCTACCATGGTTCCAATATCCTGTAATTTTCGATATTAGATCAAGGCCTAGAAAGATTTCTTCTCCTACTGGATCTAAAGACTTGCAAATGGTAATATTTTAATTGTATATTATAGCATATTCATTTAAAATAAATTAATTTTATTATATAATAGGTCAACATTTCTCTCCGTGTCTTATCTCGCCCAGATGCCATAAAATTACCAGACATGTACCAACATTTAGGTATCGATTATGATGAGAAAGTTTTACCTTCAATTTGTAATGAAGTTTTAAAATCAGTAGTTGCTAAATATAATGCATCACAACTTATTACCCAAAGACAACAGGTAATTTATTATATTTTAATATAGTTTATATGATTTTTTTTTAGGCAGAGTTTTATTTTATTTTTATTTCCATATAAAATAAATTTGGTGTTCTTTGTATATCATTAAGTTAGTTATTAAAAGTTTGAAAATTATGTTCATAAAATATTAATAATTGATTAACACCATAAATTAAACTTGAAAAGATTTTATTATTCATAATTCATAGAGTTATATTTGAGATCTTTTAACTATTTCCTGTAGGCCACAAATCTAATCTGAATATTAAATTATAATGGTTTTTCTAAATATATTTAAAAAGTAAAAATATAAATTCAAATTTGTGATTGTTTGGAATTATAAATAATTAATACAAATACTTTTATTCATTTGTTTTATTTTTTAAGTGTGTTCTACGTAATAAAATAAAAAATGTATTATTAAAACCATAACATTACTACATTAGAAACAACATTTAATTATTATTATTGGTGATATAAGTTATATTTAAGAATAAAATTATAAATAATTTTTTTTAAAAATGGAGTCATCATAATATTGTCAGATATTTTTTGCTTGTGAACTTTAAGTCAGAAATCCCATAGCAAATGAAAATATGAACAATCTAAGTATAACTCAATGGTTAACATCCTTAATTACATTTGTTTATTGTTTTATTTTTATTATAATAATTGCTGAAGCAATTATTTTTTCTTTATAAAATCTTAATTTATCATTTGTAATATTGTATTTATATTTTTACAGGTTTCGCTGCTCATTAGGAAACAACTTGTCGATCGTGCTCGTGATTTTAACATTATTCTGGATGATGTTTCCATAACCGAATTAAGTTTTGGCAAAGAATATACAGCAGCTGTAGAGGCAAAACAAGTAGCCCACCAAGAAGCTCAGCGAGCTGTCTTCTTTGTTGAACGTGCCAAACAAGAACGTCAACAAAAGATTTTGCAGGCTGAAGGAGAAGCGGAAGCAGCAAAAATGATATCCTTTTACTGCATAACAAATCTAATAATCGGGGAGTCAGTTAATATAGATTATACAAATGAAGTAACAGAAATTCCTATTATTGGAAAGTATTTTAATATTAAAATAACTGAATATAAGTTGAAGTATTATGGATTGCAGAATAACAATCCATAGATGCCCCCTATAAATCACAACTTTTCTGTACTATCAAAATAAAAATTAAAAATTTTTTGCTTATCATGTTTTATTTAGTTAGTTCAATCTAACTTATATACTCTATATTTCTATTCTTCGAAGAATTTTGACAGAGCATTTTGTAAAGTATGTGTTTGGCAATTGCAAAATGTTCTAATCAAGAAGTGGATGTATCTATCTCATCTAATCCTTTATTATTCGATATTCTACAAAAAAAATATGCCAGTGGTTCTCAATCTTTTTAGGACCGCGATCCAAATTTTCTTCTAAAAATCTATTGCGACCCCATAGTTTTACGTTTACAGAATCAATAAAAAATAATTTCAAAAAACAAATTTTTTTTATTTTCTTACTTATTTACTACTTTATAATAATAATAATATAATACTTAATTAATAATTAGGCGTATGTGATGAATGTGCTTGTTTCTTACAATCTCTATAATTAAAAAAACTTCTCACAACCCCCAAAAATTGACTCGTGACCCCTCTAGGGGGTCGTGACCCACAGTTTGAGAAACGCTGAAATATGCTATTCTCTAATAAAAAAAGTTCCTTCTCTTTAAATTTTATCATAAAGGTTTAAAATCTAGATATAATATAAACACCGTAATTCATGTTATATAAAGCAGCGTACTATTGTTAAGTTTGCAAATTAAATTTGTACAAAGTGAACCAAAACTGAGTGAGTTGACATTCCTCTAGTAAATAATTATTGTACACTAATTTAAAATTGTTTTGTAAAAAAAATAATAATATAGTATAAATGTTTTCTATTTTAGCAATGAGAACTTTTGACATATCTGGAGTAGGGTAGATATCCTTGTCTATTAAATATATTGAAGATTGTTATATTAGAGAAGATGTTGTTACTATTTATGACATCATGAAAATAATTACCTTTTATAATTATGCGTAAAATAAACACTGAAGTATTTCACTTAAGGTTAACTTTGTGCTTTAATATGTTATTATAACTATCAGTTAAACAATTTTTTTATTTTATTTTATTTAATAATTTATATACATTTCAAATTGTTCATTATTATACTTATATGAAGTATATTGTAATCATAAAAATAGTTGTTTATTCATATACTATATAATATTCTTAATCCCTTGCTCCTGTTTAAAATATTACTGATTACCATAATTTGCCTTAACTGAAATGTCTACTTAGGAGAAGCTATTGGTCGAAATCCAGGTTATTTGAAACTTCGTAAGATCAGAGCTGCACAGAATATTTCTAGAACGGTATACTTAGAATGCTAGTTATAATAATTATTTAACTGATGTTTTATTCATATTTTATTTAGATTGCCACTTCTCAAAACAGAGTATACCTTAGTGGAAATGGTCTCATGTTGAATATTAGTGATCCCTCATTTGATGAACAAAGCGACAAATTATTGAAAAGTAAGAAGTAGACTGGATGCATTTTTATCTCTGTAGTAGACAAATTATTTTAATTGTTTGTATTGTATTCCATTTAAAACTGTATAGTTTCATTAATAATAATTCACATAAAACTGGCTTTCTTTATATTATATATTATTATTATTAATTTTTTTTTATATATATTTTAATAGCTACTTCTTCAGAAGTGTTTAATAAAAATTTAATATCAATAAAAATGTTGTATAATAAAAATTATATCTGACACAAAATATTAGGTGATGTTTTTTATGATTATTTTAGGCGGATCATTTAACATAGAATCAAATTATGAATCAATTATTAGTGTTCAATCCGTTGAAAATGTTGGCAGTATTGCAAAAAAAACTGTAGTCGACTTATTAAGGTAAAAACTGACTAAAAAAGATGGGAAAATAATGTGATAGATAACAATACAAATTTTTTATATTACTTTTCATTCTATTTTGTACTAAATAAAACTTAGGGAACTAATATAATATTTGTATGGCATTGACTCAACAATTAAATAAAGTAGATGATCATTAGTTAGGTGACAAATAAATTTTTAAATTCTTCTTCTCCATTGGCATTTATAATTCTATTAGAGTTTTTGCCGATAACACTATATTCCATCATTTCTCTCGATCTTGAATAATTTCCTTCCATTCTTGTTTACCCACAGCTTTAAGATCTACTATGTCAAGCCATCTCTTCCTTAGTCTGCCTCATGGGCTTCCCTTCTGGTTTCCATTTTATCAATTCCCTGATGGTTTCTTCTTCCCTTTTCTCACGATATAACCAAACCATTGTAATCTTTGTCCTTTTATGTAGCTAGTGGCTGGTGCTAAGCCCAGTTCTTCCTGTTGTTTCCTATTGAACTTTCTTCTCCACTCATTTATTCTTGTGTCACGAACTGGTCAACATATCATTTTCCATATTTTGTTTTCAAAGGTTCTAAGTCTTCTAGGTACTTAGTCTGGTTTTCCATGTTGGGGGGTTTAGCATAGGGTTGACAACCCTGTCTTAGAAAAAATTTTACTGTTATGATACCAACACAACGTTTTTAAATTACTAGAACTTAATGAATAATTTGAAACTTATAAGTATTGTTTATGAATTTTAGATTTATATTATTCTAAGTTTATACCATTATAAGAATATATTGAAGTGTAAAATTCCTTATGGTTGTTTAATTTTGAATACTGTTACTACAAATGAATCTTAAGAGCTCAGTTGATAGAGTCTTGTTACAATAGTATATCTACCAGTGATGGGAATTATTCGAGTATTCGAATATCAATATTCGATACTACAATACAATACGTAACGAAAATTATTCGTTTAAGTTTTCGCGCAACACAAAACGTTTAATTATAATAGGTAATGTAGCATCGAATACTGATATTTAAATAATCGAATATACATTACATCTTTAATACCTACTTATCAAACTGTTCTTTACATTTTATTTTCAAATGCATCTTAGAGATAATTATTATAATTTAAATAATATTGCAGGATATTTTAACTAGGAATCAATAAAATTTAAAACTAGGTTTTAAAATGCACACTATTATCACAAAGTTTATTCTATTATTTTAAACAAATTATTGCTTAATTCTGAAATAAAATAGTTCATTGTACAGGCAAACAAATTAATATTATTATTATTATCCATTAGATTAAACAGTAGGTATAGTAATACGAATAACGTATAAGGTACACAACAAAATCGCTAAAGAAAATTTGACACGCTAAATTTTATATATATATATATATATATATATACGTATATAACTAAAGGACTTGCGTTAAATCTGTTGGTACAAAAAAAATGTGCCTAAAAAAAAAAAAAAACATGGTAATTTTATTAGGAACCAATGAAAATCAATATTGAGTAGTTATGTTATATTAACACACGGATGCGTTGTATTTACACGAGATGAGAATTTTGGTCCCCGGAATAATGCGGCGCGTGTAATATTAACAATATCGAACGTGTCATGTAAACAGACCGTTTGAAACAGTGAACTACTATCGGCAGTTAGTCCGTCCGGAATTCGTTTGGGTTCCCGAGTGCACCTATATAGTAAAGTATTTTTTAAGTATAAAATCACACGATTGGGAAAAAAAAGCGAACACACGATGGCGTGCGAAAAACCGCACGCTATAGCAGCACACCAGTTTGTCCGTCGGTCGATTACGCGAAAACGAGATATGGTTATAATTAACGACGGCCGACGGATAACCGTGTAAGGGGTGACCGGGGGCGACAGCGAAGCGTTGAACACTTTGGCGAGACGTAACGACGAAACCGTGTACTTCCCCCCCCACTCAACCGTTCCGTCGATGGGGAGACGAGGGTCGGTATGTTTGCGGCGCGGACGACGGGGTGGTGGTTCATCGGCGCCCGCGTCCACTAGTTGGGCAACGAGTGAGAACGTTCGGTACTGTTCGACCGCCAACCGCTGGAGGTCGACCACGGCAATCATACGGACGTGGCCGTCGACTTGTACGGCGAGTGGGTGACGGATGCGGCGCCCGAACCGGCCACGCACTGGCCGCCCACCGTCCCCAGGGCGCCGTTCCCCGCGGCCGCCGCGGCCGCGATCGTCAGCTTGGCGTCCATGTTGAAACAATACAGCATCGCGGCGCCCACCGAGCTTCGGCGCGTCGGCATCGGCGTTGACATGGTCCACCGGTTGATCCGCGGGTCGTACCGTTCCGTCGAGTGCAGGCTCGAGTTGCTGTCGTTGCCGCCCAGCACCAGCAAACCGCCGTCCAGCTCCACCATGTCGTGAGTGGCCCTGCAACACATTTATCACATCGTTTAACAGCAACATCAACAACAATACGTTTCAGTCAGTGTTGGCTTCAGGCGCGCATACGCAGGGGAGAGTTTAGGGGTTCAACGGAAATGCAGTTTTATGAGTAATGGCAACTTGTGTTAAGAATAGGGTTGCCATAAATTTATAAGGCGAAACCGGCACAACACAAACACAATATTGAGTTATATACTTTTTACATAACTTAATATATTAGGATCAGTGGAGTATACAAGAGAGGGAGGGTGGATGTGGAGGTCAGATCCCACTAGGTCTTTTTTTAAATGTTATAAAATAATGTTCTTATTGCGAGGGCGTAGAAACGTAAACAAAAAAAATAATAATCTGTTTGTAAACGATCCCCGCCATACAAAAGTTATGTACGAGTATACTCATCGAAGAGGACCATTCATGGCCGGCAATATAATATTTAAAAAATGTTTGTAAAATAAAATATATTGTATATTTATATGTGTAATTTAAAAATTATGTTTTTATTATATGTTATTAATCGATTACGATTAAAAATGTACTTTGAGATAAAATGGTCGAAATTAAAAATTAAACAATACTACATTTCCTTTAAACGTCTAAGCCGGGACATATGGATATCCTGAAAACATTTTTGGGACACCGGGACGCGAAGTTCAAAATCGATGACAATCCCGGTTTTCCGGGACGTATGGCAACCCTAATTAAGAATATAGCAAAAAATATTGTTGGTGAAATCAAAAGTAGTATGCCAGAAAACAAGAAAACGTGGATGAGGAGATTCAGAGTAGTAGCAAATAGGAAAAAGCTATTTAAATTATGGCGGAAAAGCAGAAACAGAGAAGTTAGGATAGAATATGAAAATGTTTGTAAAATAGTTTGGTAAGCAAAATGAAGCTTAGTAGATATGAGTTAAATAAGTGGCTAGGAACACGGTAAGGAGAAAAATAGATAGACTGGCTATGGTTAGAGAAATATGATCCAGGGACTAACAACATTTTTGATGTATAAAAAATGAGGATAAGAGAATGTTAACGGTTGATGGAAATGTTAAAAAAGAGATGAAAATAATATTTTGAAAGATAACTGGGGCGAGGTATATGTGAGAGGTAGTACAGGTGCCTATAGTGGATAAGATGAGTGAAAATAGACCAATGGTTTTGGCATGTGATGAGACGAGAGGGAAAAAATACAATAAGAGTTCTTTTGAAAATTATAGTTGAAAGGAAAAGAGAAAGAAGAAGACACAAAAAGAGATGGTTGATTACGATTGAGAATGATATGAGGGCCGTTGGTGTGTGTGTAGGGTATGTAGAAAATCAATACGAATAAAGGTTTAGGATAAGGATGGTCGAACTCAAATAGTTGGTAGAAAGACGAAGTAGAAGAAGAAGAGTTTAAATATAAAAACCTTGATTATGGATTAACAGAGTTTAATGAATAAGTAACGAGTGGCGTGATTTAAGAATAATGTTAGGGGTTGAAAAAATTAGATGCCTATGACATTTTTCTAGATCCATTTCAGTGACATAATGCACTTTTCCAAGGTACGACAGGTCGCGACGACTGAATTATGGGTTTTATTAAGAAATATCCTTCTTCTAATAATAAAGTAAAAATGTCTTTATTAATAATATACATCTCCATAATAATTAAAACAAAACTGAATAAATTATAAATTAAAATTACACACGCGTATGTATGTGGACAGGTTTGCGAGTGAACTGAATATGATGTGCTTTATGAGCTACTACTTATCAAAATCGTCGCGACATGTCGCATTTAGTAAAACACAACCGAAGAAATGCGTCGCGATCAGTTGCACCTTGGAAAACGTACCTTTAGAATTTTCTTTGGTTTTAGAATATTCTAAAACGAATGGTATTTTTTATTTATTATTATGACATTTCAATAAAATATAGAGAATTGAAAATTAAGTACAAATAAATAATTTTGATGAGTTTTGCGTATCTGCTTTTTCTACTAACATTATGTTAGATTAACTGTTGTATTTTTATGCATAAAAACTAAAAATGTATTGTAATTAGATCTATGATCCGTTGAAATGTATATAAGTAATAAATATAATAATAATAACAGTCGTGGAATATATCAATCAGAATTCTGAGCATGTTTATAAATGGTCTGAGCGTCAGAACGCTGATCATGGCATTAAGGGTATATCCATTGTACACAATCTAATCAAATTAAGTTAAATTTAATCTATGATCTTAGGGACAATAACGATTCGAAATACCGAAGTCATAAGAAAATATTTTATCACTCTTATCTTATCATATCACTATCAACAACGTCCAATATTCATTATCAGTACAACCGCCAACTTCCCTCCAAATTCTAATTTGTTCGATTTGCTGTTGTTATCATATAAAATAAATAATAAACCGAAAACAATGTTTTCTGTTCCTTACTCGCCCAGTCTACCGCTACTACATTTTATTACTTTCCCAATAAAATTCTTTAAACTATTATTCATACATTCGAGAACTTATGGTCCCAACGTAAATTGTACTCGATGTTTTGTAAAAGTTTGTAATAGGTACATGTTAAGTCTTTACCATTGAGGAAGTATTTTGTACAGTTCAATTACACAACTGTTTTAAACAATGAGTGGTGATCAAATTAAAAGTCTCGTTGATCTGGCGAATAAAAGACTCAATAGCAGTGAAGACTTTGAAGAGTTCCAATCGTTTGTCAGCGAAGTGCTCGATTTGGACACTGTGAGTACATTTAAGTATATCTTTTGATATGATTATTCTCAAGGAACAGTTGTAAGTGTGTGGTTCTTAATTATTAAATTCCAGTTTATTCAAAAATGTTTAATGCTCATGATTAATATTTAATTGATACACCAAAAATAGAACCTATTTACACAGAGAAAATCACATTTCTAGCGTACCATAATTTAATGTAAAATCATTATAGGAAATCTATCTTCTTCAGTTGTTCAATAATTGTTATCTAATGTATTTCCAAGCTTGCATTCAACCTCCTATTGTACTGTTATAGTTATTATTAATAAAGACTGTGGTAAATAATTAATTCCTGAGTGGATTCAGGTATGACTCATGTCATAATTATAATGAATATATTTTAGTTTTTACATTCCAAACTTAATTTCTTTAGGTTTTCGTTAGCTATAACCAATTTTTTTTTTTTATTATTAAATTTTTATTTTAATTTTATTCCTCATCTGTTATAAGACATTAAATTGGTAATAAAATAACAATCAATAGTTTGATCTTTTTAATATTTTTGCAGATATATGCATTGATAGATGAAAAAATAGATCATGAAGATGGTCCTAAAGTGTTAGAGTATGTATTGGTTGGACTTTCGGTTAAACCTGATGCTCAAAAAGTTGTTGAAAAAGTAATATATACATATTTATTTAGCCAATTATAATAACTGGAGAATTTGTAAATTTATTTTATAAAATTATATAGGTTTTGAAAATTTAATTTCTGTATTTTTTTTGCACAGGTTTATGAATATGTATTAAACGCGATTAATACCACAGAAATACCCGAAAAGTTGAAAGTTCGTTTGATTGGTCGGTTATCATTAGAGTTAAATAAACTATCAACAGAGCAATTAATTAAATTTATAAATATGTGTAAAAAAGATATCGAAAATGCAAATGAAAACTGTATGCAGAGGTACCTATACATTTTTTTTTTTATTATCTAGTTTTTTTTTTAATTAATTATTACATTTTTCAATTTAAGCTGGAAAGAATTGATTCCTCAGATATTAAAAATAGTATCTGAAGTAAAATTACTGTCAACTGAAGGAGTAGAAATGAGTGGTGCTGAATACAAAGAAATGATCATTACTGATATATGCCGTAACAAGATGCAAACTAACATTACAGTAGCACTTGCATTGATGTTCGGGTAGTTATTTTATAATTTAACTCAATAATTAGAATATAAACCATTTTATATACATAATAGCATATGTGTATACTATACGATTATTTTGTTTTGTATTATAGGAGAACACCATTAACAGATAAAGAACATGAATTAGTAATTAAAACTTTATGTTCAAATGTTGGTCAAATGAAACCTCAAGAAATTCCACCTCTTGTTCAACAAATATTACATTTTTGTTCAAGTGGTGACTTTTTAAATCTTTTTTGTACACTGCAAAAATATTTTGATGAAAAATCCCTAGTAGAAGATGAATCTAATGCATTTGAAATTGGTAGTCTATATACAATAAAAAAAATTACATATTATTTTTTATATTTTTTTTTTTGTTATTGTAGAAGTAACTGAAAAAAAAGACTTGTTAGAAGCAAAGAGTACAGTATTATTTCTCCTAGAAGACTTTGCTAAAGTTCATTCTTCATTTGTTAGTGATATAACTAAATATATTAAAAATAGTATTGGTGCTCCAAATATGGTTTTTGGACCATTTATGTTATCATTTTTATTAACTATGTCTTGCTGTGGACCTTATGAAACTATTGTAAGTATGATTCTTTGAGGGAAAAATGAAATTCATGGTTTTTCAGATTCGGCTAAGTTAAAATTTATTTAAAATATTTTCTTAATGTATATATGAACTAAACTTATTGAGGTATATAGGTTACTACATTAATATTAGTAAACATTTAGAACAGTATTAGCCTCCTTGTAATATATACTACCTATTAATAATCACATTGTTTATTTAGTATAAATATATATAAATAATATAAATAATTTTGTTAGTACCAATAACAATAAGTTATAAATATGCATATTAAATTTATAATAAGTTGAATTGGCTGTTTAGACTGCCTTTAATTGTTCTAAATACAATACATATCAGAATTGCTTGACTTAGCTGGGTATTCCAATCATAAAAATATCTGATTTTACCCATAAAAATGTATGTGTATTATTTTTGTAACTACTAAATCAATGTATATTTTTAGGTTATTGGTTTAATAAAAAAACTTGTTGTACAATCACTGTCAGAAGATGAAAATATCAAACGTTCATTTTGGTTGAAAATCAATTATACAGATATTTATAATGTTTATGTACAATTTCAAGTCTTTATAAAGAGCGAGTATGTATTCAAAATAAATAATTGTATAAAATAGTTATTTTTCAATAAATTTATTAATTTTTTAGAATATCAAGTTACGAAAAAGTTTTTAAGGGTTTAGTCAATTTGGGTTTATCACTTCTTGGATCAACTTCTTCTGTGTTCAAAAGTACTCTCAATTTATTTTTATATTTATGATCAATATTATATGATATATTAATCTAATATATTAATATATTATATATTATTATTATTATTATTATTAATATATAAATATATATATTAATCTTGTATTTATTTGTAGAAAATGTTGAAATTACCAACAAAATTCATCAACTTGGTTTGTTCATCATAGTTTCTTTAGTTCAGAAACGATCATTTATTACTGGAAGTGTTTTGAGAAAATTAACTGATTATATTACATCCAACCCAACATCTAGTCAATATCTTGGTAATTTAGAATTTTAATTATTTATTTTTAACTTTTAAAATTAAATTATATAAATAATTTAATTTTTAGAATGTTTACATAAGCTTTGTAAGAATCAGAAGGTTGCTGTTATTGAAAATAATACTGAACTATTGAGATTATTTAAAGATATACCAGTTGGTATGACAGATAAAGTAACTTGTGCTGTTATGCCTGTTCTCAAAATATCAACTTATTTACGAGATAATGTTATTATGATTTTACGAAAAGAACTCTTATCAAAGTAAAATATATTTTAGATTATTTTCACCTGACTATTCTTATGCATGTTACTAAAGCTTATATTTGGATAGAATACCCTTGATTTATGTATCCTAATAATATTGTATTATTTATTTTATAGGGATTATAAGCTAAGACATTGTGCAGTTTTAGGATTCATTGAAATTTTATGCAGTGTACGTGTAAATAATTTTAATGCTTTAAGTCAAAAAACAAACAGTCAAGATTCTTGGCCTGGACTTTTTACTCAGGTAACTTTATATACCATATTATTATTTAGATAAGTATTAATTGTTTGAATGTAAATTATAATTTAATTGTTCTTTAAATAATTAACATTCACTGTATAATTTAATCGAAATAACCTATATTTTTATGAATATATCATTTTTAATTTTTATATTTGGATTATTCATTTATTTTATAAATAATAATAATAATAACAAAACATTTTTATTATTAGGTATTTTAACTTCATAATTTTAATTTTATTTATTCTTTTTTAATAAATCATTTTTTGATAAATTTATATATTATCATATTATTATAATTATTATAATATATTATATATATTATCTTACTGTATTCTTTGCCCTTGAGGCTTTATATCAAAATAAATATAAAATATCTTTAAAGTTATTGTTAATAACCAAATGCAATTAACAACCAAATTTAAATTTAAAAAAAATAGGTTATGTTTAACTTCACATACAGTTAAATATGAAAAATCTACTTAATAATTGACTAAGTATTTTTAAACATAAATCGCCATGTGTATTAATTTTAAAATTGTCAGGTTTATAGCCAAAAAAAAAATTATAAGTGAATTCATAATTTTATATTTTATATCTAATTACAAATAAATATTCTTATATCATCTCATTTTTAAATTTAACAAATAAAAATGTACTGTAAAACAACTATAACAAGGAAAACAAAAAATGCTTTAATGGTTTAAAATACCACTTAAATTACAGGTCATTCTTGATCGAGATTCTGTTGATATCCATTCAACTGTTGATCCTGAGGATTCTTCAGATAACAATAAAACAATTTGCTTGGAAATTTTGGACATACTTAAGATATGTTTTTTCCAAAAATCAGAAATCAAACAAACACTCTATCGAGGATTAGCTAAAGTGACTTCACCCAACAATGAATTGTGCGTGTGTATCAATAGCTTATTATTGGATCATCTTAGTATATGGTGTAATAGACGTGTTGCAGACAATAAACAATCGTTAAAATTTGATAAGTCTATTGTCCTAGGAAAAGATAATAAACATATTGTCAATGTGAGTGTAGTGAATAATATTGCACACCTATATCAAAACAGTAACAATTCAAAAAAACGCTTTTTTCAGGAATGTCGGTTTTATTGGTGGTACCTTGGTATCATTCATTCAATACAATGTACTTACATTGCCATCTGACGGAGAATATTAAAGATAAAGATAAACCTGTTTTGTTGATTTATGTAAATTCGTTAGTTGAATCTGAATATACGTTTAACTAAAAAAACCAACTTTTTGATTTGTTACTGTTTTGATATGATGTGCAATATAAACATTAATTTGCAGTTATCCTCCTCCTATTTTAATTTTAAAACTTTTATATTCTTTATAATGTGTTAAAAACATTTTAATTAAAAAAAAGTTCCTAGTACAAAAACTTACTATTATATTAATTAATTTTATGTTTGTGTATTGTTTCTAGGAGCCACTGGAAGAGCTGATTCTTTTGGCTCAGCATGTAGTAATTAAGAATATGTCGTTTGAAGATACTGAAGGATATAATAACACAGATCAATTAAAAAAATTACTTGATGAGCTAGTCAATTTTTATTGTGAATGCAATACGGATGAAATAAAAGTGGTTAGTTATGGTATGTGTACTTACAATTAATGATAATAATTTTTTTTTCTTCTATTTCAGAATGATAGTGATAGTTTGTTAGATATAATTTCAAATGTAGCTGATTATTCTGATATTATTAAACAAATTGTTTGTGTATATCAAGCATTTATTGTGTATATAGTTAATTCATGGAGTAATCCTAACCAGGATAAGGAATGCTATGAAAAACTACAAAAGTTATTTTCTAAATACAATCATATTGTTGAAGCTGTTTTGGTAATTTAATTTTTATTATCAAAAATATTTTTATTTGTCGTATTATTCTTATTTAGGCATCAGATAAAACTAATAAAAAGAAAGACAAAGGAAACAAAAAAAATAAAACTGAAGTAACAGGTACATCTAAATTTACTGAACCTGCAATACAGTTAGACTTTGATGTTCTTTACAAGTTTCTTTCTCTACTAGTGTAAGAATTTTACTCATATTGACTCTATAGTTTAAAGTTACTTAGAACTTGTTATTATTATTTATCTTTAGTGAAGATGTAGATTGGAACTCTGAAAGTACTGTTTCACCATTAAAACATAACGTGAGACTATGGGAATTTGTTTTAAAATTGGTACAAACGTATTTGATTGAAATAAAGATATCATTAACACGTGATGTGAAGCCTCTTAATCTATATGAAAACTTGTGTAAATTGAATAAGTAAGAGTTTGAATTTTTTTTATTATTCACATACATTTTTGTATTCTACTTCGCATGTTATGTTCATAGATTGCTTTATGATTATTTTCTGGTTGATGTTTGTGAAAAAATGAAATTCAGCCAAACTATTGTTGAACTTGGATTAGAGTGTTATTTAGAAATAATTAAACTAGTCAGTTCATATTACAAAAAAATAAATAAATTTTTATTAGACTCCAGTAAGTATAATGTAAAAAAAATTTATTTGAAAGTTATTTTGATCCTGAAATATATTAAAAATTAATAGATCAGGGAGATATGAGTGATGAATTAGAAGAAACATTTAATGTACTTCGTAATATAAGATTTCATTTAGATAAAGTATTAGAAATGAATCAAGTGGATACAATTAATGATGATGATGATGATGATGAAAATAAAACTAAATTTGAAAAAATTGAATGTCACCTTATTAGATGTGTGTCTGTTATATGCCATTCAGTTAAAAGTAACAATGATGCAAAAATGAAAACTGTAACTATAATATCCATTGATTTTATATTATTAGCTAATTAACTGTTCATTTTATTAGGTATTAGTTTGGTTATCTTCTGTAGCTGAAAAGTATTCATTTTCAAACTTAAATAATTCTAAAGAATTTGTAACCCTCCTGCTGGATATGCATGCTGCATACCAAGAAGATCCTATAATGTTAGCTACTTTAGTTAAAAACTTGTGTTCTTCTTTTGGTCAAATAAGTAAAGTAAGTTTTACTGAAAAATTGTATTGACTGTTAATTTTGTTTAATATTAGTGGAATTTAAAATTAAATCTAACATATATTTTATGTTTAATAACAGCAGAAAAATTTTTTTATTTAGAAGTATATGATTCTACAAAATTATTTTAATTAAATATGTTTCTAGGTGAAAATTATTGTTTTATATAATATAGTTATTTTTAATATATTTATTCATATATTTAAATTACAAATATATTTATGCTCACTCAAGTTTCATATTAAATTTTTAATTGTTTATTGTTGATAAAATGTAAACATAAACCATGAAACTAATGTAATATTTGTATATATGTTTGATATTTACTAATAATTATACAAATTTAAATTTAACATCAATGATTTTATTAGATGCCTAATAATTTTGGTTCTTTTAAGAGTCATAAAATCAATGAATCACAGCTGACACCTTTGAGGATTATAACAACTTGGAATAGAGCATCTATGTGTCCGGTTTTGTGTCAGCATTTGTGCAACGAGTTGAATTATGTTTTATTATGCTTATCTCGAATCAAAGCAGAGTTACAAGCATCTCAAAGGAAAATTAAAACTATTTGCCAAGATCGTCTAAAAGCTAGAGAAAAAGCCATCTGCCATCGTATTGTACTTGTCATATTAATCACAATTTCATTTACAAAAGCAGTTATTCCATTGGGTCAATGTACAGAGGCTGTTTTTAATTTATTGTATCAAGTCTATCATACTATTAATATAGTTGCGAAACATTTCTTAGCCCGCTCTACTTACCAGGAACCTGTTTATAAACAAGCTTTGTTGAGTATACTTTAAATTTGGTTGATTTTGGGTTGGTTTTATTTTCCAATGTTTTGTTACAGATTGGGTAAACTATCCGAAGTTGTCAACAATCAACTGTCACCTAACGTTTCAAAATTTATCATGTTTGTTGAGGTATGTAATTTTTTGTTTTTTGATTCACATTATTCTGCAGTTTTTAATTTAAAAAAATTGCTATTTTTATTAATTTTTTAGCATGATAGACCATTGACAGACAAAGAAAAAAAGTCAACTCAGTTAAAAAATCAAACTCGTCGCCAAGCCAGCTATATTCCTAGAGTAGTTACTGAATTAGAGTTATTTGTTAATCAAATAACCAAGTTGGGGAAAAAATGCAAGGTTATTAAAATAGTTTAACTTAATTTTGTTAATAATTTTTTTGAAATGAAGAAAAAAGTATTGCGATTATTTTTTTTTTTTTTTTTTTACAAAATTAGGATCAGAATTTAATAAATAATCTCAAATTAACTTCGAGCCGTGACTTTAGACTTAATATACAGAAAGTTCAAGATATGATTAGCAAACAAAATGAATCAGATGTAAGTTGTTATTGGATGTTCTAAGAAATGTAATTTTAATGCTGTTGTTTGTATTGTCAAGGAGAGTGATGTAGAAACTACAAATCATGATACCTCAAATGAATCACAGGAAAATAATCAACCCCCCAAGAAAAAACGAAGATCTGGCTCAAATGATAGATCGGTTGGTTCACCAGTTTATTGACTTATATTTTTGTTTAAATTTAAAAAACAATCTGACAATTCAACAGAATTATTTTAATATTAATTTTAAAAGTGATATTATTTAATTCATCCTTTTTTTTCAAGTAGTTTAAATTAATAAGTATCTAGACACTTTTGTGTTTGCATTTATAAAAAATATATGTAAACGATATAAACATTTTTGTTGATATAAAATTTTTTAGTTCATTATACTCATTTTTTACTTAAAACTCTTTATGAATAAAAAATTAAGTTTTCTCATATCTCTTGCATTTTAATGTCAAACATTGTTATTCAAGATGAATTATCTGAAATTGGAGAAAATTTAAAAACTGTATAAAAACCAGTGAAAAATACATAAAATATTCTAAAATATTATTCTTAAGCTTTTTCTTCCACTTTCTAACGTCTGATTTCAAACATAACAGTCCTTACACTTTTGATGTGGTATTTTCTGTTGATTAATTAACCATTGAGACTTATATACATTATATTTTAATCATAATTTTAACTGTTTTTATTAAATTAATTTCTAAAAAATCCAAATGTTATAATTCTATTTTTTTTTTTTTTTTTTGTAAATGTTGGTTTAACCAACCTGATTACGATAAAGATAATTATTATTAATATACTAATGAAGTAGTTTAAACTATCTATAAACATAGATACTTATCCTCGTTCACACGAAATCATTTTTTAACGCCAATAGTAAGTTGATTTAAAATGTAAAATGACGATTAAATCAGTCATTCTTCTACTACTCACCCGTCCCCATATCACACCTTTTCCCATAATCAAACGACCAGTGATTGGTAATTAATACTGTTGCGATCCAAGCGCTTTATTAGGGGTTGAAAGTGCTAACCCCTTGCTGTCTCGCGCGACCATCCGATTAATTACATCCCCGGGTGCCGAGACCAAGTTAATTCTCTTTAGTCTAACGTTTTAAACGTTAGCGAACGGTGCTATACGTATAATCGATACTATTACTCGTATTAAGCGCCGATATAAATATAAGATATCACTGATGCTAATGACGCGCGGCTGTTCCGTTTTACCTGCGACACTGCATAGTGGCGATGGGCTCCCACGCGTTGCGTCTGACGTTCAAACGTTCGCCGCTCGACATACACATCGTTCCGTCGTTGCCTCCTACGCAGTAAAGCATGTCGTCCAGCGTAGCCACGGCGCAACTGCTGCGCCTGCTGCTCATGGCCGGCACCGTCATCCATTTGCTCATCCTCGGGTCGTACCTCTCGACGGTCGACTGGTAGTTGGTCGAGTCGAAGCCGCCCAAAGCGTACAAACAGTTGTCTGCAGGGAAATCACAAAACACGCGTTACGTTAATGGCAATAATAAAAATAACAATATTAATGATACTGGCCGCACGGGAAGAAAACCTTTGTTCGGACAAGATTGGTTGAATCTCAAAATCCGCGAGGAGTCCGACAATAACGTACCTATAGCGGTCAATACCATCGTTTTATTAGGAAAAAGTGTACCGTTTACTTGAACGATTTTGTGTTATAAAAGTAATACCCCAATCTTTAATCAACGTGAATAACAATTTCATATTTGGCTTGATCGAATTATGTTTAAACTCGATTCGAAAACCATCGTCAGGATTAAATATACCAAGAATTTATACACGTGTACACTAGGTTAGGTCGAAAAAATGATTTTTTTATTTCGGAAAAGTTGCCGTTTAGTATCCTAAATGTGAAAAAGATAATAAAAGTAAAATCTAAATTTTTCTTTTCGTTTCGCGCATAGGTTTTAAAGTTTGAAAAAAACAGTCAAAAACTAAAAAAAATTAAAACCCCATGAAAATTTTAAAATTAATATTTTTAAAATTGATTGGTCATTAAACAACAGCACGCAGATCTGTGGTTATTTTTTAAGCATCCTCAGAAAGCTTTGGCATTGTTTTGAATTCTTCTTTGCAATTAAATGGAGGCATTGCTGATCTTGAAAGTAACGTTGACTTTGTAAAACCATCTGTTTTTTTCTTCACGCACTTTTGTAGAAGACTCCTCCGTAACCAGCTCTACGATTCCATCTGCACTTTAAGTGTGATATGGAAAATTAATAAACTCGAATTGTGGTATAAATTTTGCACTAAGAAGCTCTTAATAATAAATTTTAAAAATATTGATTCGATATTTTTAGTGAAACTTTTTTTTTTTTTTCAATTTTGAAGCCCGATGCGCGAACTGAAGAAATAAACTTGGATTTTTTCAATTATTCTTCCCTCGTTAAGGATACCAAACCGCAAATTGTCCGCGCTATTGCGGATCCGAAATAAAAAAATTCATTTTTTCCGATCCAACCCAGCGGGCACGGGTACCTAAAGCACTGGACGACTATACAGGATTGATCTTTTGTACGGGAAAATCCTCGATCCACACGGGGTTCCGTGACGGAATCAAGTGTACAACGCGCGCGCGGAGGACTTACCAACGACGGATACGCGACAATACCGTCGACGGGTGGTCATGCTGGGGCAAGACGACCAAACGCCGGTCAGCGGGTCGTACCGTTCCACGCTGCTCAGGCACGACGCGCCGTCGAAACCGCCGCACACGTACAGCAGCCCGTGGTTCGCGCTGATGCCCAGACAGCTCCTCTTCGTGCCCAGCGACGTGACCGCCGACCATTTGTTGCAGTTCGGGTCGTAGCACTCGGCCGAGGACAGATCCACTATGCCGTCGTATCTGCAAGCACGCCGGATGATTTGTGTTGGACAAGAGAACGCGAGGGACGTGCTGAGAATCGCCTACGAGGACACGGTGGCGCACACTCATTCTTACCGACATGGGTCGAACATCATATTAATACCGACCACCTACCCATTACCCAAAGCAACTCCAATAAAGGTAATTTTGGAACTGGAGGTAGTGGAACTTATCACTTAAGGCATGAGCCCTAGGTCCAATCAGGTTTCATTTGTTCGGAATTTAAATACAATTTAGAAAATTTCGAATATTTTAAACCATCCGATTTTTTTTCCGGGGAGGGGGGGTCGAATGACCCCCTTGACCCGTGAGGTGCGCGCCACTGGTCGAACACCTGCACCGCTCCTCACTCTCGCCGAGTACTTTTTTTCATTTCCCAATCAAACCTACACATTTCGAAAAGGCGCTGCGATACCCGTCTACGAACATAAGGTGGACCCCGACTAGGAATACTACTGTTGTCTTAGCAGAAACGTTTCATCGAGTCCCGTCGCCGATACAAATGTATTGTATTCCGGATGAGCGTGTAGTCCGACATTTTTACGACAAAACGAATGAATAAAGCAGAAAAATAATTCTAATTTTTATTTCATATTTTCCGTATGAAATCGTCAACAATCGCAAAAGTAAAATACTAAGACTATGTACATGATTATCTATATTATAATCTAATAGCTCGCGTTAAACATGTAGAGTAACATATCAAATAATTAATCATTGCAATTAAAAAAAATCTAAGATTTGCATTTTCCGATTAAAATACGTGTAAGTTGTACTTACCCTCCGATGGCGTAGATCAGCTTGCCCAATGATACGATACCTGCGCGACTCCTGCACTTGGACATGGGCGCGATCGGCAGCCAACGGTCGTGCCTGGGGTTGTAACACTCGCCGGCGCTGTGAATGGTGAACAGGCTACCACCCCCTGCGGTAATACAATTCACCGTAGGTATTAAAACTATCTGATGTAAGCATGGAATGTTAGATAGGCGTATATATGTACGCGGGGAAGGGGAACATCGGTTTGCCCTGTTTAGTATCAAGCAAGCACAAGACCTGTATACCATAGAGAAGAACTTACCGATGGCGAAGATGTACGGCATCAGACCGTCAGGACTCCGTTGCTCGGTCTGTTTGCTGGCGAAATCGGATCTTTGATCCGGCAACAGATGGTACTTCATGGCACCCAACAACAGGTCCTTACAACTAGGCTCGCTGCGCACCAGCGGTTCCGTTTCCACCACGTTCAACAGGAACATTTTTGACATTTGGGCCAGCCGCACGTGTCCCAAAAGCTGCGTGACACGGTACTATTATTACCAGCCCCACATTCGAACACAATGAGCAGTCAACTATAAACTTCTGATGTTAACCGTGCAACCTTACGGGGGCTCCTCGATAACATGACTGGTATTAGCTACTACCACGTTATGAAGAATCCGTGTTTATGACGACATAGACCGATGCGATCGAAGTCTTATGATTAAGGTTCGTGAAAAATCATTTATTTGAAAATTTATATTTCCATACAACCATTAATGTCGTTACAGAAAGCTTTTACTGCATCATACCTACTTCTATCTCAACAAATATACGTAATATGATTAAAATACAGTGCCGCAAAAACCGGGTGTGCAGAATGTGCCGCGCACACGTTCCCCAAGGTTTACATACATTTGGAGGGCCCCTTAGCCCCTGCCTAGAATAAACTACACTTTACAAACACACAATTATTTAATAATATTACATTATTATTTTATAGTAAAAAGAAACTTTTGTTAAAATTCAGGTAAGAATGTTATAATATTATAGAGTAATATCATATTTATTTAACAAAGAGTCCATTGAGTATTTGAGTAGGCATACAACATAATTACCTAAACTACTTAAATAAATTTACTACATAAATATGTAGTGAAGTATAATACACAACAGTTGTAGGTATTTAATTTGATATATATACATATATCATACACTAACAGATGTGAAACGTGTTTTAAAACCTAAAAAAATTAATACTTATAAATAAGAGGTATACAAAAATAAATCCTAGAGAGGGGCCTATTATAATTACCGCACACGGGCCTCCTATTTTGTAATTGCGGCACTGTAACAATACAATAATAGTATTTTCCGGCATTGACGTGTGATCGGAATCAGTTTTCAGTTTACTCGGTATCATAATAGTTTAAAATATCGATACTAATTACGCTAACGAATAGTTGTAGTTAATTACTTTTCTATCGACGGTTGCGGTCGAGTATACGTTACTGTACCTGTGCAATGTGTTGCGACCGTTCAACAGGGTTATGTTTGATCCAGTCCATGACGGCCACGAAAACTTGTTCTTCGGACACCACATTCAATTTGTCGTTGGACACCAAATCTTCGATCTAAAAATGGCAAAAGCTTACTGTACTTTGCGCACGGTCGCTGGTTTCCCGCGCTGTTGTAAACAATGTAATTTCGACCGGATAAGATTCTATTACATTGTATCGAATCCGCGCGATCCTTGTGGCGGCAGTAAATCCGTTTACCGTCAGGGCAAATGTGGTTTTCAATAAATTTTCCAATCAAATATCACGCATCACGACGACCGCGTGTTACGCACGGATCCGGGGGAGGGGGAGGGGGCAGACTTCATCGCGACTAACGCAGTATGGCTGATGCTGCACAATATAAGTTTCTTGTTCATTATTCTATTCGAACGCCTGTACGCGACGCAACTTTATCCGGTGTTCCATCTCCGTCCCATCGATTTTCTACTCCGTTTTATCGTTTCATATTCCGTGACGTCCGCCCCGGGGGAAACGCAATACGTATACAATGCGTCGGTCTCCGGTACATAATACACATGTTTATGTGTGTGTGTGTGTGTGCGTGCGTGCACGCGATCGTGGTGGTAGGGAGTGTAGGGTTAACCGTATCCGCGTGCAGAACGAAATCGTATCGGATTCAAACGGCCGAATAAAATAATAAAAATAAATGATTAAAGTCATTGCAAAAGTCGAGTGAGATTACGAAGTTCTCGTACAGCCGTGGTCCGCGGTTGCCGTCGATTGTGCGCGCGCCGGAAGATCAGGTGGTTTCTGTACATCGGGAATTTTAATTAATTTTTTTCAGCGTTCCCGCGATAAAATACAACGCAGACGGAGAAAAAAAAACAATGACGACGACGATAAAAAGTACATATCACCGGCTATTCGTGATTAAAAAGAATAATAATAAACCCGCGCGACCGAACGGTGCTGGGCGAAGTGGAGGGGAGGATTAAAATGGTAATAACGATAATGTTGCGGTGGCGAGGGTTGTGTCGCGGGTGGCGCACGGGGTGAAAATTCTCATTAGTCTACACCACTGCCAAGGACTTGCCCCGTCGCCACGTAAAAACCCACTGGGGTCGCCGCCGCGATCGCGTCCTTCCAACCCTGGCCCGTCTGGAACGCCCGTCCGCTAGCCGCGTCGACGACCTTTGGCACCGAGACGGTCCTAGACGATTTTTTTATTTCTCTACCGGGCGGCGCGCGTACAAAAAGTCTGCAGGTCGATTACCTCAGAAAACGATAGAAAGAGAAACTCTTCGGTTTTCACTACTTCTTCGAAGTTTTGCAATGCGTAACGGTGCGACCGGGTTCTCAGCTCATTGCACGAGTGCGTTTCTGAAAGAAAAAAATCACACCGTATGTTAAACATATCTACGAAACCATTCGATCATTATTATTGTTATTTTTATTTTTGAATTCTTTTAACGTCACTAAACCCTGATATCGTATTATTACATTCGCGCGAGTTGTCTTTTTATGTCGTAGCCACGTCTCATTCTTATTTAGGATAATATTTCAATCCAATTTTTATCTGATAGTTTATTTAATAGCAGTAATGAATTGTTTTTGTAAATCCAAGTGAAGCTCGATTGTTGTTATCCTTAATATTTATATATTCTTTATTTTTAATTGATTTTTTAAGCAGTGCTGCGGCAAAACGAAAAATTGTCATCAAAAACACTTATCGACTTCTTATTTAATATAAGTGGTGATTTGAACACTGCATATATTTCCATTCCAAAGGAACGAGAACGGAATCACTCTGCCGCTGTCAACAATTATTTTTGGAAACCATGCATTCGTGGTCGTTCGGATGATGTGCGCAGGGTTCATATATTATTAAACGCGTCGGGCAATAGATTTCAACGACGATAAGATCTAATGTTATGGATACGTGTGCAAAGTAGTTATTTTTAAAGGTTAGTATCTGCCGGGTCGGTTCGTTAAATTTGTTCGGTTCGGTGGCTATAGGAGCCGATATACCTCGTTTGAGAAAGTTCAATGCGCGTCAAAGAACCAGTGGCTAACGAGCCGAGAAGCCTTTTAAACACCTAGTCGTCGTGCTCCCCGTAATATTAAATGGTAATAAATAACTGGCAAGGAAATTGTTTTGTAAAACGGCACCCGCTGTGACTATGTATATACGCATTCATAAAAAACGACGTTCGTTCATCACGATATCGTAAAACGTATTTAGGCGTATTTATTAGATTAACATTTAATGTATACGCAACGGACATCGTTATCGATCCGTCGCGAACGAATGAAGGATATGAAAATTGTGTGGACAATTCGTAATATTTATTATTAGGCAGAACAATTGTATAAATATATATTTATTATATTTTAGTTTTTAATTTTTAATATACATATTTCGTCTAAATGTATGTGTAATATTGAACGGTTCATGACATCAATCACGGACGATGCACGGTTTAATCGATTTTAATGGTCGATGCTTTGCGCGAGCGAGCTCAAAACTTACCAGCGAACTGCCTGATCCCCAGGCAATTGGTCGGATGCAACTGTTTCATCAGGAACGTGCAACACGCGTCCCGGACCGAGTTGATCTGGAGCAGAGACGACGCGGGCAACAGTACCTGTGGAAAACAATCGTATTGTAACACGTGTGTCGTACGAGTAATTGCGAATAGTTATATCTTGACGTGGAAAATTGTTCGATTTAACCGCGCGACGTCCTTGGACGTAGAGTCGCAGAAACGCACGTTTTAGCTAAATACGTCATATATATTTGTATGGAATATGATTCTATGTACTTATGACGTATGCCGACGAGACTTAAGCACGCAACGACGTTTGACCCAGTTACTATAACCCGGTGGGTAGCGCGCGAAGGGCCGACAAAAGTTCATAGTTAAATGCCACGACTCGTGTACCTGTATAATAGGTACACCGCAACGTTAAAAATGAGATCGACGCGGCCATTAAAACGGGGCTCGTCTGCGGATTTCGTTTTTCAGCGAATCAAATCGATTCCGCGCGTACACGGAAACCGAACGGAGAAGAAACGCGTGCGATTTAAATCGCTACGTATTACATTACTAATTTATTAAAGCGAACAATTTACAATTTTTATCGCATTACACGCACACACAAATCTCAAACGACTATTTGTAGTCTGTTGTATTGGAAAATATGCGCGCCTTTTCCTTGCACCTATTAAAAACTGATTTAAATGTACCATAGATGCGATGAAATGTTTTCTGTATTTTGTTTAAACCAGTTCTACGATATTTGTTTACGCAAATAACCGTTTTCGTGTACTCCAACGAATTGAGATTTTTATCGCACGCTTTAAATTCGTTGCAAAAGCTTTACTCTTTGAATCACACAAAGCGCTTCCGTAATACACACGAGTTTAAGCTCTGATTTATTTAGTTGTACAAAAGAATGCTTGTGGGTATAAATGATTTCGTTGCGGACCGCGAGAAAACAAAAAGCATTAGACAAAACGTAGAGCGTGTTCCCCTGTGCTTGTTTATACATGAAATGCGATGGCAAAATAAGTTTCGAGAGACGAGAAAACCCTCCAGTCAACCTGCTTTCGCGTAGAGATTGATGATCGGATTATAGGCCTATAGTGTGCGTGCTGGTATCGCATTCATGCGAGTTATACTATATATATTATTATTATTATCTTCGTTTCTCTTTTCTTTATTTTTCTTCTCTCATCCCTCATCCTTGTATTGCAACGAACCGACTCTTATCCACAGGCGCACACCCGCAGGGTCGTTTCGCCTAAGCACAACATTCCGTATACGTCCGTTTTAGCACGCGCGCCCTTTAATCTTGCACGTTTGCGAGAATTGAACTCGCGACGCGCACAGACGTTTACCTGTAAGTATTATACATTTCGTTCGTTTGCCTACCACAGATGGTATTATTGATTATTACCAGTCTTTCTCGTACAACGTATAAAAACTGGTCGGGCGGTGGTCGTTTGAGCGATGGTAATAATTTTGACCAAAAAAATAATAATCCATTTGGGCGAGTGAAATTATTTTTACCTGTGCGAGGTAAAAATCTGATGATAGATACGGATGATATTATTGCTAATAAAAAATAAAGAGTTTATACAAGAAACATGGAATAAATATAAAAGAAGAGATATTAACCAATTAGAATACATAAAATGTTAGGTTTAAAATATCAGACCAATAGATTGCTTTAAAAACTACTAATGATTATATTATTTAAAATTTTATTTTATTATTTTAATTTTTTGACTGTAGATTATTTCCTACTTATAAATAATAATATTATTAATATCTATATCAATATTTTTTTTTTAACAGAACTTATTATTAATTATTTATATTTTATATGATTTCTTTCAATTAATTGTTGAATGTATTTTATGAACATTTTCATACAAAGCCAATAGATTACTTTAAAATATACTAATTATATTATATGTAATTATATTTATAATTTTTTGACTGTAGATCACTAACTACTTATATAGTTATATAATATATATAATAATATTATCAATATTCATATCAATATTTTATTTTTAAATATAACTTATTGTTAATTATTTATATTTTTATAACATTCAAACGGTATTTTTAGTTAAATAATCCTAGCCCAAACGGTATAAATCTATTCGCCCAAACGGTTTATATTTATTCGCCCAAACAAACTATATTTTGGGTCGATTCGCCCAAACGGTGTACGCCCAGCTGGTCGACCTCCTCGATCGCAGCGAAATAATATAATATTTTCGTTTAAATTTCGAAAGTCTATTTTACAATATTATAAATATTATAGTGGCATATAATGAAACTTGCCTCCGGACGAATTCGTCGACTATTTACTCCGATGACTTTTCAACGTCAAAATCACGTTCGTTCGTACAATAATTATTATACTACATGTCATGTATTATGATGCTGAATATGAATAAGACACAAACACACATATACGTTTTGAATAACTTGAACATTTCATTTGACTCGAATAATAAATACCGTCTGAAACTTTACGAGGAGCGTATGCGACGTATTCGTTGAACATACTGATATCGACGCATAACGTAGAAAACTTGGATTAACGTAATTATTGAGACGTACTAATTTTTGCACTTCCAACTAATAGTTATTGACAAATTTTATTCCGTTTTGAGATTAAGTCTATTTAAAGTCCGTATATCATGTAAAAGATTGAAAATGTATTATCAACACGGTGCGGTCTATAGACTGAACCATACGAGCGAAAAATAATTACATGGACTAAATCAAATTACGAACTAAGACGATGTGACGGTTTAGGTAGATTCATTTGCGCTTAATTAGATTGCCGTTATGTACCTGAACGTTTTCATCGGTTATGTAAACTTGACCGGTGTACGAGTACTCGACTAGTAGTTGCAAAGCACCCAAGTCCACGTCGTGCAGTTCGACTTCGGATTGTAGTTTCTCGGCCATGTCGTCTAGGAACAGTATAACGATATGACGATGTAAAAGATGTGAGTAACAAATCAAATGGTTTCCAACTCACCGTTGAACATGGCGTAAAAGTAAGGACTGGAAGAGGCCAGCACCAACCGGTGGGCTTTCGTTACGCTGTTGCCGACTCGAAGTGAAACGTCGCAGAGCTGAAACGTGACACATTAAACGAAAGGAGATGGAAAAAATGATATCACGTACGAGTTCGGCTATATTTTATTATAATGCGGTTGCAAACCGGATCAGCTTACTTGGATGTTGACTCGCATCTTGTTGATAACGGAAAATGACGACATCGGATGATCGGGATCATGGTGCAGATAACAAGACATAGGTTCTGGTGACTCGCAAGTCGGCGGCTCTTCGACGGCAGTTTCTTCGATTTCTGAGGAAACAAAACGTAGCGTTAATAGAAAGAGAGAAAAAAAAACGAAACACGGGGCGTTTACGAATCCTGCAGGGACGACGAGGAGGAATAAGAATAAAAGCAATACTTGTCATTGGCGGCGCCAGGGACGGGCCAGGTAGGGCCATGGCCCTACCACTGACCTGACCTTAGACATAATAATATAGTCATTTTTCATAAGCAGAAAATATTAAATAATGGTATTTATTTTTGTTGAAATCTCATTTTTGGTGGCCCTACCTTAAAATTGTTGGCCTCCCATTGGCCCTACCTAGCAAAAATCCTGGCGCCGCCACTGCTTATTGTCCCGTTAAAAGGCCGACCGTAAAACAAAGAAATAACGTAGCCCCGGAGAAAATGAGGTTTTCGTAAACGTGTCGTATATCTTTTTCGTTTAACGACACGTATAATCTACGTCCCGCCTCGTATACACGTAATAGCGGTACGCGCCAGACAAGGCGCCACATCGTCGGTCGTCGCCGGCGTTCAGAGGATTCTGTCGATACGAATTCTCGGCGCGTAGGAACTTTTCCGCCAGACAAACGCTTTTCAAATTTATTATACGCATTTCGTCCGTACAGTTTTAAGTAATACCAATATAATACCCGTGGTCTCCGATCGGCGTCAGCCCGTAATAAAATTTCTGTCGCGCGATGCTTGCCATAATCGTTTCGGAAGCAATATTATTTTTCAAGAGATCTTTTTTACGCGAAACTTACTCAACTCTATCGCATTGGCGTTTATATCCGTTAAGTGTTTATTTTTTTCTGTACGAACGGTACCCGCCGCACACGCCTTTTAATCCGGATAAACATCTATTCCTCGTGTCATTGTACCGTACATGGTTTGCTTAGAATAAACGTTTTTTTCGAAAACTGCGAGTCGAACGGAGGCGCGTAAATATAAATATGTTAAATTCGTCGTGTTTGATTTAATTATTTTTTTTTTAAGTCGGATTATTATATTGCACCTATTTCCCCTTTTGACGATGATTTGGTAATGTATTCATTAAAAAAACAAAATTTTAATAGAATTCAACGAACAACAATATACACTTTTTGAACGCAACATAAGCGTGTAATTTGCAATGTAAATATTTTTTTATAAAGTACGAGAATTTCGACGGGGGGACACGGTTGAAAAATCACTGATATTATAATCATCACTGAAATTTAAATAGTTTAAAACTGACACCGATAGGCCATATACGTTAAGTACAGGTACTCAATTATAATTAGCGAAACACGGTCTTGAAATTCATAAAATAACTCGCGAATTTACAGCATATTATTGAACATTTAAAGAGTAGTATTGCGTTTTTTTTTTCCAAAAAGTTTATTTTTTTGAAATATTTCGGATTTGAATTAAACCGTATCTATTATGGATTAAAAATTATTGAATCGAGCCATACCTATTTGATGATCGTTTCAAATGTATAATAATTAATTTGTATTTTTTTAGTAACCAGAAAATTATTCGTCTCAAATTCCGATTTAATTGCTATTAATCTAAAAATACAATATAAAAAAATAATCTTATTAAAACAAAACAAACATAATTTTTATTTCTACAGTAAATCTAAGGCACTTCATTTGTAATTCGTGTATATTTTATGGTTTTTAAGAAAAAATATTCAACGGCTTAGTGATTATTTTCATAAATGAAAATAATGTGTACCGTATAAAGTTTCCAATATAATTTGACGAAAATCATTTAACTCGTTCAAAATGGAATACATTATGAATCATGATTACATTTTTTAATTTTCTATGGAGAAAGAAAATGTAATTCGGCCAAAAGTGTATTATTATTTTTTTTTTTTCAAAAAATAGAACCGTAAAGGAAAATTATGTGTTATAATGTGTTATATTTTTCGGCAAATGCGGTCCCATCTGTATTATAAAATTGTTATATTACGCCGGTTATAATGTTCGTATTTTATATGAATAATCGATTACGATAGGAACAATAATGGGAAAAATGTTTGAATTTTAACCACCGCAAGGGGTTTCAATACGTAATTATACTTCGCGCGCGCCCAACTTGCAGTGCTTGACGGGGATATTTGGGTACGATCAGAAGTCCGTTTGCTGAGAATAGTTTTGACAACTCGACGGTCTCGGTCACAAATTTTCGCGAGTTCAGCATTTTACACCTAAACAAACGTTTGCAATAACGAAATCGTGTACGCGTGGTGATGCGTGCGTACTCGGTCGGTAAACTCTGCGCGTTCAACGTACGTCTGAACGAGTGACCGGACGAACGACATAACGAATGAAATATAAAATTGTACTGCAACAACGGTTGACGATCGATTGGTGTGCAGCGGCTGTGGACGGGTTTCCTAACGATTACGCGCAGCAGTCGCGTGTCTCGGGTCAATTGGCGATCCGGCCGGTTTAATCGCGAGATGCGCACGCCACGACATCGTACCGAGCGCGCACGGTCTTGGTGGCACGTCAAACTCAATAAACGGACGAGCTCTAATGGATACTGTTTTGCCGTCGATTCCCGTATCAGAACAACCTATTCGTTTGGTTGTTACTCGTATAACGTTAACTTGGAGGGACACTTGGCCGGTTACCTCCCAAACGTTAGCCTCCCCCCAAGATCGGGTGTGAATCGAGACGCAGGCGATGCAGCGCACCGCAGTTTTTTGCCATCTACTGATTTAAACGGACCAGCGTAAATTAAGTTGTAAGTCAGGGCAGCGCAGTACTGCACCTACGTCAACCTGCGTCGCACAGTGTATGCGACACAGTTTCCTACGAATGTGTGACGCAGTTTTTCGACTTTATTCCGATTTGACTTCCGGTTTTTCTTCGGGATCAACAAGTTTCCGGACATTGCGCCCTTCAGAAAAAATAATACCCTTTAAAACATGGAGAACTTCATGAAATCGATATCTATTTAAGTGGAAGTAGTTCGTAAATTGTTTTTCAGATAATTCCGTTGTCAAAGCAAATTCACCGTAGCTCATTCTTTTTTTCATAAATTCACTATTCCGCGACTTTTTTCGCTTGATTAAAGAATATAAAATAAGTTTAACCGATCCCTCATCAGAATCGGATCCCGAACTTAAATCTATTAATTCAGTAGCCATCACGTCGATGTCAAAATTTGGTGTTCGACTACACGAAACTGCGTTGTAATAACTGCCGTTAGTATTCGCTCTCACGGGTCACGCACTTGGGTCCTACGCTGACGCTGCGTCGCCTTGCGTGTCATTTCTTGCCCGGCCTTGTTCGGTCACCGACTCGATGTACTGACGCGGTAACAGTGCGTAGGCAGTAGACGCACATAAATTGGTGTGCATTACGTTTTCGCGATCGGCGTGATGCGATCGTAATGATTTCGAGCAAGAAAAATATCTATAACACCGGTATACATGTTATAAATAACACATTGAGTATGTATAACAAGACGTTTCCATGAAGGATAATGCGCACCTAACGTTTTATAAAGATTTTCTCTGCGGGCGGAACTCTTTTCGCCCAAAAATGACCTTCCTCTTTTTGCCCACGTCCTCTTTTCGGCCAAAAATAATTGTATTCTTTTCGCCCATAGTTTCACGTTTTACATTTTGGAAACCACTTTTTCAAAATTAATAATTTTTAAAAAATCATATTTGATATTCGATAAAATCACGTTTTTGATTGTTATTAATATAGTCAGTCGAGAAAAGTATATAAAGGTGCCGACTCTTCTATCGAAATATGTAGTTTAAAACACTTTAATAAACGTTATAATTACTTAAAAGTCATAATTAATATGAATATTTGTATTATTTTACAACAACAAAACAAACTATTTATTTAAGTAGTAACCTGATCATATTACTTAGTAGTTATTTTACATCGATAACACTATTTTAAATACTTATATTTAACACTTATTAAATTATTATTAATTATTATTAATAATTATATATTTTTATATTTTTTTATTTGATTATTATATAATTTTTTTAAAATTATTAATTTTGAGACAGTGGTTTCCAAAATGTAAAACGTGAAACCATTGACGAAAAGAATACAATTATTTTTGGGCGAAAAGAGGAAACTATTTTTTCATTTTTGGTCGAAAAGAGGACGTGGGCAAAAAGAGGAAGTTCATTTTTGGGCGAAAGGAGTACCGCCCTTCTCTGCCACATTCATGTGAACTTCACAGGAATGTTTTGATCAATTATTATCGATAGAAATCGCGAACGAATCGCGCTGTCGTGAAAATTGCTTAGTTTCTCCGTTATTGTTTTCGATAATTTTTTACCAATAACTTGCAAACAACGGCAAATACCCGCGACGGCGATGGGTAAATTATAAATATAATACCGGTAAGTATCTATAGGATTTTTTTTTTCCAAAACTGTAAGCTACCGTTTTGCTCTAAATTTGATGCGTTAAGAACAATATACCATGCGACGAAGTGTACGTGTAAAAGTGTACACGAGTGTAAATAACTCGATTTTAATGAAAAATTATGACTTTACAGCCGCCGCGATTATTCTCGCGTGCATACAAGTATATTATTACGACGACGACCGCGTATATTTGGCGCATTAATCATAATAATTGATGGTATTATTAGTATTACTATTGCACTGCAGTTATTATCACGCATAGCAGTATTTTGTTTAATGAAATGAAATTATAATAAAACCCATTAAGGTGTTATTAGTATATTAGCGCATTCTGAATACGAAGAGGCAAAAACTACTACAGTCGTCAGGTTATGGGAATTGGTAATTATGAAATACAATTATTATTGACCGTCGCGAACACGTAGCGTGTGCGTACGCCGTCGATTCATTTCTACATCGCAATTACTGACAGTAATAATACGTAAGTAAAACACTGTACAATCGACCCGGGTAGAACATATAATTTTTTACGCTGCACGTTCGGCATATTACGATATGAATTTCGTACGCATCATCGTTTAGGAGGAGGTATCTACCGATTTAACGTCATAAAATAGTC